TGCAGACCATATGATACGACTGTGATTGAACTAAACAACACGCAACCATCAAACCTAATTGGAAAATCTAGGGAAACAGTTGTGATTATACAAGGTGAGCCGTCAACAATATGGATCAGAGCAATCAATCACCGATTTCTGCCAACCCAATTGATTGATGAAAAGAGATAAGTCATATACTGTGAGTCCAATACTGCATATGGATGCGAATGTTGAGGCGAGCTAGAATGATTGGCCCTTCAATGCTTGGGTCCCTTGAAGATGCACGTTATAAATTCCCGCACGTGCAGATACCGCATATGTACTTCCTAACGGACACGCAGCGGGAGACAGTCGCAGCAAATGACAGTCATGTGCTTTTCGGAGCCAATGTCATGATTCAATGCCCCGGGGCCATGTCAAGCGCGATTACTTCGACTCTTAAACATCCCAGCCACCACGTTCGATTCGGTAATACGAAACTCCAAAAATGAAGAGGCTGGGACTTGGTTGATTTGATAATAATGATCTGAGCTTCCGAAGTTATCAGGCCGCTTTACGGCTATTTGTTGTATTTCAACGGGGACTATTGACATACTATCCAGAGGAGGATGCAAATCCCAACCCTTATCAATATCTTCGCGTGCAAAAGAATCTTGGAATGTATATTGATTCTGGATTCCATAGAAGTTAGTGGTCAATTCACCATTATGAATATTGGAAGAAAAATGATATTCACGTTTTTCACCATGCCTGTTATCACCAAACTTGATGTGTACGCGATCCCCGTTTGGGAGTGACACAACATTAACAACTTGATTCCAGAATGAAGGAAGAACACAACCGAAGCAAAAAAGTATCTGCTTGCTTATATTAAGCTTATCCGTGCGTCGCCATCTGCATCTCGTCTGGAAGCAATAACGGTCACGTGAAAGTACCCCGGCATTTGCCATCGGGTGAGATTCGTCAATTGCCTCAGCAACAGTTTGGTTCTCCACACTATCCTGAGCTTGCGAAAAAACGCATGGCGAACAGCGGTCTGCCTGCTTGTCTTTCCTGCTGTTTGGTCCTAACGGGTCCTATCCGAATCTGCAAGTCGCAAGTAAGTCTTATGGGGCTCGGGATTGACTCTCTTCTTGCGCAATGTGACGAGATAGCGCCAAGTCGACGATATTTATGCGTGCGTTCACTTGCAGCTTTATCCCCATACCGAATCATATCCACGTTTGCCACGCAATTGTCTCAATTGGGATTACGGTATAGATCCGCGACTGTCGGTGAAAGGCGAAGAGACAAAAAGGGGTTCTAGCCCCAGCGGTGAAGATTCTTCGCTGGCGCCAATAGCAACATCATCATAAATGGCCAGCATTATTACTTGTGCTTTACGCGTCGTCAAAACCACTACCAATTTATGTTCATCCTAAACTCGAATAAGCATTGCGACATGATGTACAGAAGTAGTGGCAATTGAGTTTTTCCACGTCTTGAAGGAGGTGATTACATGCATCTCTTTGCTGGCAAGCTCAGACACGCATCACTAGGTCAATAGTTCTGCATTTACGCGACTAGGACTCAGAGAGCTCTCCTCGGAAACCCAATAAGTTCCATTGATTTTTTAGTCTTGTGGCTCACCGCAAAACATAATGCCTGATAGCCGTTGAAACAGATTGTCGGTATAGCATTTCGAGATATCAACCTGCGATTGCCGCGAAGACTTCTATCTCCGAGCACTCGAAGAATAATATGCAGTTATAGGGCATACATATACACCAAGCTTCTGCGAATGATTCCAAAGGTTTGGTTCCGACTCCGCGGTTCCGACAAATATAAACGCGATGTGAATTTATTGCACAGAATGGGGAAATTCCGTCTCGGTGGATTATGACGGGGGATGAATTCACGACAATGTGTTTAAACTTTGATCCTCAATTAACATCTACGGCAACGGTGGGCTATCTTCACCATGCTCTCATCAATCCTACAAAGCGGGGTCATCGGTAGAGACCGAGAAACTCGGTTTTATGCACGATAATAATGGAGAAAGTGGACGATCAAGAATTGGAGGACAGCGAGAGCGACACGTCAGAGAAGCTGCACCAAAGCTCTTCTTCCAATGCGACGTGTTCGTTCTGTTTCACAGGTCACATGTAGCGGAACTACATAGAGATAAAGCACAGGGAGTATACAATACAATCCTTCCCAATCCTTCATCAGGCTTCACGTAAGGACTGCGACTAGAGTGTCAAATGGTCCGTCCTGGCAGACTGGCTGGGGACTTTCAATAGTCGAAACAATTCAACGTTTGAAGCGATTTCAATACCCAAGTCTTTTGATTGTTATGATGAGTTTCGGGAGTGGAACAACTCTGATTGTCTGACTAATTCCGGACAATAGAAACCTTGAATGTAAAAGACAAGAAGGATAATCAATGAAAGTAAGCAAGAGTAAGATTCCACAGATAAACGAATTTTCCAAGGAAGAAGTATTTCGAGTACCTCCCGATCCCACTGGCACATATTGTTCCCGCAGTTCCAATGGAATCACAGGTATATGTAAATCTGCCAAAATTTGCGCCTTTTGCAACGACGGCAAGAGGCCCGGAATACCGGATTTTGCCAAAAGCATTCAGGAATTACGGCACAACTTATATGAAAGCGATGATATATAAAATTGTAGAAGTACTTAGTCCTATTTCTCTTTCTAAGAGTTCCGCAGTGATATAATTTCATTCCATGTCAGGAAGCAATATCTCGAAGTCTCAATTCTCGCTGAAAAGATTTTCCGATGTGACATCACTTCCTTCCCCACCAGATAATCGCCGTGCCATATATACAGCCAGTAACAGCTGTGGTACTCAAGTGCCTCAAAATCTGTAGATCAACCTTCCACATTCAAGCAGCAACTAAACTCGGATCTCAATTCACGATATCGTTTAGTAATGTCTTCCATACAAACATGGACGGTCACGGAACCATACATCAACCCACACTGTGGGCTCGGTGAAGCTCCCTTCTATGAGCCTTCCACCAACACACTCCGCTTTGTGGACATCAAGAAGAAGCGTCTCCATACAATCAATCTCAATGTTGGTCCATCGTCTCTTACGACCATGCAGCTAGATATTCCTGTCGGCGTAACAGCTGATATTGAGGGTATAGATTGCACCGATAGGATATTGGTGGGTGGTAAAAGCGGGATCTACGTACTTAGAAGAAGTGATGGAGAGATGAAGTTATTGAAGAGGTTTTATGATAGTGAGGAAAAAGATGAGAGACTGAGAAGTAATGACGGGGCCGTAGATCCAAAAGGAAGATTTTGGATAGGGACTATGAATGACTTTTGGGTGGGGGAGCCACAAAGTGAAGGTGGGTGACATTTTGATTCCTGACTATATACTGACAATGGGCCTGAGCTATGAGTTCCAAACAAGCACCAAGTGGGTGTGTGAAACCTCTCGGTTCCAGTTTGTAGTCTGTTGCATGTGATCTACCCCGAATCATGTCAATTGTGCCCTCACCCTATGCGTTCTTGCCGCTAAACTCGACCCCTTCAGGTACAATGTTCCGCTTCGACAATGATCTCACACGCCATACTATTCGTGAAGGTTTGACAATTCCCAATGGAATTGGCTGGTCTGCAGACCAAAAAACTATGTACTTTACCCATACAACCGAGCAAACTATCTGGGCGTACGACTACGATGCCTCGACTGGCGATGTGACCAACAAGCGGGTATTTTGGAAACTCGATGGAGATGGAGAGCCCGATGGATTCAAGTTCGACTCGGAAGGGAATATCTGGCAATGTGTATTCGGCGAAGGGCGTGTGCTGAAGATTGATCCTCAAGGCAAAGTCGTTGGCGAAATCAAGTATCCAACGAAGTGTGTGACTTGTCCCGTATTTGTGGGCACTGAGTTGTGGGTCACGAGCGCAAGTGATGGGGGCGACGAGTATGCGGGAGCACTATTCAAGGTCGACGTTGGGATTGGCGGGCTAAAGGACTTCAAGTTCAAGTTAGCTAAAGGAAGTGCGGAGCTATGATTCTTCGGATCCAAAGTGTGATTCTTCAATTAGATGAATGATTATGGAGAACATGTAGATGAAAACGAGACTACTACACTTACTACTTTTGGGCCTAGTGTTTCCTACTAGTTTTCACAGTTGCTTGGCTCAGGAGAAAGCAGCAGAACTCAAGTATCATTCGTACAATCTAAATGAATATTAAGTGCATCGGTGGCTTCTCTCGGGGCTGCGACCTTCGAGGAACGTGAAGGAAGTCTTTGTGGTAGTTTTCGAAAGACGGAAACGTATTTTCACTCCAATATTTTCAAATAATGAAATTCCGTGTGTTTCTGTGAAGATGAGGAATCAATACCCTTGAAGAAATTTGATAATTCACTGTCAATTGTAGAAGTTAAATATGATAGAAGTTCGCACACTATAGGCTTAGCGTCCCGGCGCGCTACCATAGGCGACAAAATCTTAAGTTAACCTCTAATATCAAAATCGCTTCTCCAAATACCTATTCCTTTGCATCTTCAACACACTTTCACTCATTGATATTGTTTGCTTGTTGAACTAAAACTATCAAACCGTGGTGTTGCCAACGACTCTCCGCTGTCTTTGACATAGGTACCCATTTGCTTCACAATCTCTTTCAGCCTCGAGAAGCCCAGACTTCCATACAACCTCATCCATTTTGAGTCAAATTTCAACAGAGGTATGCACTTATTCAGTCTCCAGAAAGATTGTCTGGTAGTCTAGGCAGCAGTCCAAAACCGAAAGGCTCTTTATTCTTGAAATCACCTAAAACTTCCATCCTTTCAAGTAATATGTTGTTGTAACTTGTTCAAAATTTACATCTTTCAGAACACTGGAGTTTGGGTTTAATCTATCCTCGATATCTTGTCAGAGCTCAGAAAAGAGTATGGCTACTTCTTGAGAAACTATTTACTAACTATATGACTACAGTATCTATCCACCATACTCCATCAAAGATGATAGGTCCACCCAAACACAAAATGCGTTCCAAGTCCGATTCTTATTCCTATGTCATTGATAAAGCAATGGATGTCGAAAAATCTATGGGACATCAAGAAGTTATCAGGCAAAGCATTACCCAACGTGCAACATCTTTCGAGCGTGGAAATGCCATGAACTGGTACAGCAAGTTCCTCGCCAAATGCTACTTCGAATTTCTCTGTGCTATCGCCATTCTTACCTTGATTCCTGTCGTTATTATTCTTGGCTTCAATTGCTACTCCAATCGAACTGAAAGTTACGTGTCTGGGCACAAGTTTCTCGTGTACGATTTCAAGGGTGTTGCTCCATTGAATAACAATTTAGTCCTCCAACCAGGAAGACATATCTGCGATTTAATTACCGATAGTGCCCAATGCCACGAAACATACCTGGAGTATGATATCAGTGTATTTGTCTTCTTGTTTGTTGGAATGATTCTGGTTTTCTCGGCTGCATCTAACATAGTCCATAGGCGTTTATGCACAGAGATTGAGAAATTGCAAGGCAGATTAATCAGATATGAAGATTTGTTGAACAATGAGGGACAGCTGTACACTAAGGTCATATCAGAGATCTTATCCGGGGGTTTGAAGAAGAAATTCTAGAGAAGGACAGTCAAGTTACCAATGTCAAAATGGCCTGCAAGAAGGACTCTGCTGATGCTAATTTGGAGATGGACCACGAGAAGGAATACAATCAGAATAGAAAACAACTTGATGATATCATTTAAATGAATCTTTCGGAGACTTTGGGACTGGAACCATACAACTAAAGCTTTACTGTATTCTGGGGTTTCCGTACTGGAGAGAGTTCAGTGTTCAAGAATAACAAGGACAGTTTGCATGTTGCATTCATAGTTATCATGACGATGTAAATGAAAGGCTCCTTTCAATAAACTACTCTGTTCTCCCATCTTGTGTAACTTGGGTGAAAGCTCTATGAAGTGAGATATCTAAGTTGTGTGAAGTTACTGTTGGTATCAACTTGGTGTTGATTAAAGTGTAAAGTACTTCAATCTTATCAATATAATTGATTGTATTATTCGTCTTGATCATTATTAACTATGGGAAGCTAGTACTTGATATAGTAGAAGTGCAAGCGCTAGTGCTAGCGCTAGTGCAATATGGTGCCCTCTTTAGATCACATGATCGATATCCCGACACTAGCAACTCTTAAGTTGAATATAATCATGTGCCTAAGCCCATTATTCAATCTTAAATACAATATTCTACTCCTATTCCCTTAGCTCCCATTCCACTATTCTCTTTCTACTCAATATATCACTTTAATAACTATTTTATTAATATCAATCAAATCTTTTAAAACTTAATATACACCATTTTTAGTCATAACATCCACAGGATTCGATTTCCTATCAATCCATTTAATCTCCCCGATTTCCCTATTCTTGTAGCATTGTCGTATAGTTATAATATCGATTAAAAAGCACTTTTCCGCGCTAGTGCCGAGCTTAGTCAATAAGTTATATAGTGACTTAGAATCTGTATATAATATTAACGGTATTTGCTTCTTAGACTTGAGAATAGTATTAATAGTACCCTTAATAATAGTATCTATATCAAAACCTAGAATTAGTGTATATAGCTCAGAAGCTAGTACACTTCTAGTAATTCTCTTGCATTTAATTGATGTCTAGTGGATGATATTAGTATTGCTGTATTTATCTACTAAATATATGATATAGTTAATTTGTGAAGATAGATTAGTATTATTAGTGAAGGATGTATCGGTAAAAACAACTAATTCGATAGAATCCATGTCAAGAGATATAAAGATTAATCCTTTTCTTGGATTGTCCATCTGTTATTTGATAACCTTATTGAGTTTAATAGTATCTTCTTCCTTCGGATCTACTACCTAGACAACAACTAAAAGATGGTATGATGCTTTTAGTTGATATACTGTTGCGATATATACACCTTTCGTGTGTTGAGCGATATATTGGTTTTTCGAAGTGATATTCTTTCGAATCTTTCCCCTCGTTTCCTGCATATCAATGCTCTCCAGCGTAACTATTTAAAGATTATTGCATTGTTTCTCCTAATTCAGATAGATTCTATTACCTTTAAGAATGATTAAACCATTATTAAACTTAAATAGATAATCTTCGGTGAGTTGCTCTCTGTTTTTAGCTATAAATCCGGTTTTCTCCAACTGCTTTTGTTCTAATTGTGCAAATCTTTTGTCTACAACTATAAGAGTATCATCGGTTTATAATCCTACGATGCCGATGCCGTTATTGGAGTAAAGTAAACAGGGATCGTATGTAGATTGCGTCATATTTAGCCTATCCCTATGGTGATTGTGGTAGATTCCAAACTAGTGATTTCTTGCTTCTAGTATACCATACAAGGGCTTTATGATGTATAGCACATATCCGAAATCAAGTCCAATCTTTTCTGATGCTTCTATATAAATAGATCTATTCAAAGTCGTGGTTGATTGGGTATATGCTTGTGTGATATCCCGTAAATAGATCTGAATATGTTTATTTGATGTTTGCAAAATAGTGGTAAGTGCAAGTATAATACGCTAGCTAACGCATTGAATAATCGGTGATTGTATCAAAACAATGGTTTTATCTATATCTTGGTATGCCTGAATCACTAATCGTGATTTCGCGTATGCTTTATCAGTACCTTCTTCTTTTATTTCGTTAACAAATCGTGATTTAAATAATCGTGTTCCGGGTGGTATACTAGCTTTTGAAACGATTTTAAAGATTCCATTTTCTATTAGTCCGTCAACTTCCTTGCATTATGATTCCTTATATTGTGTAGGTATATTATCTTGCAAGAATACAGTTAGTTGTGGTGGTGATAGCTTAATGTCGATATCCGTCAAATTGATCATATTAGTCAAATTGCTTTTTATGTAACAATGTAGTTGCATATCTGATTGTACTACTGGCAGTAGTGTTTGTAATTGTAGTATTTCCATTTATAATGTATTAACTATTATAGTGTTACTGTTGTTGTTACTATTTGTATTATTATCGTTGATTGATTGATTGATTGATTTAATTAACGTCCTTTTCTCAGTCCAAGACTATTTAGGACGGCTAGGCTTTAAGAACCTAACAACTGCTAGTGGATATCTATAGTAGATATATTCAATTTGGAGGAGTAAAAACGAATACTGGAGTGCTATGCCCAATCTCTATTTGGAGTGCAAATAGAGATTAAATAGTCTTCATCCTCTGAGATACTTCCTTCCTTACTCTTCCCCTACCCCTAATTCAATTAAAGTATCCCAATATCTAATTTCTCTTTTTAAAATCCTAAATCCAATTTGCTATCCCTTCCTTTCTATAAAAAACAAGAGTTATCCCCTCCCGAATTGCCTCCAATATAGTAAAGGGTCCTCTTACTAATGAGATAGTAGAAGAAGACATTATTCTTCTCTATCTTTATCTCTTTTAAACTAGCCCCTTGTATATCTTTATAAGCTTGATATCCTCTAGTTTTATTAGATATATATAATCGAAATTATTGAAAATAGTGGGGTAGGGCCGAATCCTAAGCCCTATTGCCTATATACAAATCAATTCGGAAAATTCGAAAATTCGAAAATTAAAAGAAAAACATTGTATTGTATCGATGCCCAGAGTATGATATTAATTTGAAGGCAATGGTATTCTCTGTATTGTATTGTTATAATATTCGAATGGCTGAAAGCCAAAGGGTATAAAAAAGGATTGTAATATGAGTAGAGTGGCGGCAAGCTCTATATCGAAAAGACTCTTTTAAAAGAAGAGATCTACTGCGTATTATATTTCTGTATTTGAAATAATAATCAATAATAGATGTTAAATCTAACCAGAGCTTCCGTAATCTTCATATCCATATCTAAAGCTAATATTCAATTCTTTGTAGATATTGCTATTATAAAATCGTAATATAATCCTTCGTTATATCTCTGAACCTCTCTCCTTCCAATTCTTCCAATTCCATTTGCGACTCAATCTTAGCTCTGCAGACTCTCAAGAGAGAGCTGGAGGTTTGTAGGATGCACCGCGTACAGGTGTTGAGTCTTCGCATCCCTATTATTATCGTTATTCGATTCAATTTCTTCAAGCTTTTTATAAAAAGATCGTATAAATGTAGATCGAAATTTAATCGGTTTATTAATAAATTTCATTTTATATATTTCCTTATCTATTTCAATCAGAGTGTGTGGTCCAATCTATTTGCCTAACGTATTGCCACCTTTTCCTTCTTTCTATATTAAAACTTGTAAATTAAGCGGTAGAGTAAAGACTAATATCGTGGATAGTTTATTCCTCAATCTGAATACTTCTGTAATCTATCTCTTAGTTTGTATATGATGTACTTCTGCTATAGCTTTTTTCATAGCTTTCGCGTGTTGAATGATTGTTGGAATTGATAAGTTTAATATCACTCAATTTAGGGTATGTCCCATAAACTAGCAGTGTGGGAATAAGCCTATTCGGTTTGGTTGTATCATTCACAGCTTTCACTGCCATTTGCAGGATTATTGCTTTTATTAAATTGTTATCTTCAAGCTCTTTAGTCAAGATCTTGTATGCACGGCGTAGGGAATAATAATATCTCTCTACTATACCTACAGAGTTGTATACTTCAACTGGTATACTCTTGGTGGTGATTGATATAGATTTTGTATTTTGGATGAACTCTTTATTTACAAAGTTCTTTTCTGTATTATAAATAATGTAATCTGGTGGTCCCATATATACATCAATCCAGCACTCTTGAAGAGTATCGAATATATACTTAGCTGAAATGTTTTCAAAGAATCGAGTTGCTTGATAGCGTGTTGCCTCATCGACAATATACAGAACTAGTTCACCTGCAATATACATGACGTCGATATATATAACATAATTAAATTCAGTATCCTCTGGTAGAGTAAACCTGAAACATCCGGGTGACTTGCTATACATTTGATAATATTTGCAATATTTAATAAAATGTTTTATAGCATCATTGCTCTTGTCGTAGCCTGCGTGTTGTAGTACACTATAAAAGCGTTGTGCAGATAGGTGGTCAAATTGTTGATATAAATGCTGTAGCTCAGTAGTCGTTAAATAGCAGTCATTCTGGTGAATAAACTCTTGAATGAGCTGATCCATATTCACCTTCCATATCAAAAATGCATGCCCGCATCTCCTAATAACAGAATATTGACCGATTGGATTGATGAATTTATTGGTAATATTGTTGTAGAATACTTTAAGCCAGTCCATATCCTCAAGTCCCAATAAAAATGGAATATTGGTATCCATAATATAAAAAACAATGCATCCAAATAGTGCATCGACACGAAATGAATCTATTGACGTCACAGTCCCCTTCCCAAAGCGTACATTCACCGCTCCCGCTGTTTATAGATCATACATCACTGGGCATACCTATTGCCATACATGATATTGTCCATCCCAACTGTAGATTTACCTGCACAAGCTGTATCGATACATATACCGAAGAACTCCTTGCTTGTGTAACTTGCGTAAAAAGACGTCTATCGCACTTTCTACCGGTAGAGTAGCTTCAACAGGGTCTCTAATCAATGTATGCAATATCGTATTGACTGACAACTAATTGAATATCTCTTGGCTATTCACAGATTCTGAATTAACGAAAAATGCTTCTTCTTCAATATCATCAATATCAAGATCTGCAAAGAACTATCCCATTTCGGTTTCTGAATCAGATTCTGCATCAGTAGCTTCTCCCTCGTATTCGATCAACCATTAATCGTAATGCTTATTAAATGTATTGTTATTACCATCCTTGATCTTTTCCCAATATTCACATCGATTTTTATCCTATTCCTCCTAGAAATGCTTTGTTGATCGATATCCCTCTTTTTTGCATATCCAGCAACGATTTCGTTGATTCGAAGAATTAGATTGTTGTCGAAACCTATTAGTATTACCCTTGAAACTGTTGCTTCTGAAATTACCACTTCTGAAACCTCTAGAACCACCTGAACTATTCCAATCATTATTACTACAGAATCTTCTATCAATAAATAGCACTATATCTTCTTCTTATACAATCTCTCCCACATATTAATGAATTATCACAATTGATTGATTAAACCAAACACCTCCTTTTAAAATCAAAACAAACTAGATTATATACCTCAACATCTTCACATACTAGTATAAGCTTATTGTGTAGATGTAACATCTACTGCATAACAGGATCAAATCGATACTATAGCATACATAGCTGCTTGATCATGATGGTAAGACACTCACTAAGTGGCTTGTTTTTATATTCCTTTTTAATCGATTTGAGAATAATACTGTTTCATTTAGACAGCATATTGTGTTGGTACTCTTCTCCCTCAAAGTTACTCCGCATATAAGTATAAAGCTCTCTGAATGTAGATGGTAGTGCTTCGTAGTTAGCATGAAAGAACTCGAGCGCGCTATCCTTTAGTATAATTGGAAATGCCTTGTATTGTATATCCATAAGCACCTCCACACATCATGAGATTTCATAAAATATCGAAAATTTGAAATCGAAATTATCATCGTCCCCGCTATATTTCTCCTCATTAATATAGAATTTTGACAAACTAATAAAAGATTGCATATTAAAATGTATTAATGATTTCTTATCCCTATCGCATCGATCTCTATTGTCCTTCCTATCACTATCACTATTATCATTATCATTAGAATCTCCTCCTTCATCATCCTTCTTATCATCTTTTCAATTATCTTTATTGTATTCGAAGTTGTTATCAATGAATCTATTGATTATTTCAAATCTAAACTTAGATTCTTTAAGATTACAATCTTTCAGAACTTCCTAAACTTAATCTTTCATCTACACATCTATAATAGACCTACATAATTAATCGTATAAAGCTATAAATACTTCAACATCTAATTTCAGCATCCATACCCCTCGAGCACATATACTATTCATAGTTTTTCATATATCCAACTAATAGATCTTCGCGAATTGCCCACTTGTGAATATACTGAAGTCATTATAAAAAACCTCGGCTAGCTCGTTATCGTTGATATCCTTATAGTCATATTGCTTACATTTAAATTTGATGTATTTAATAAACTCCTTAAAATCAAAATCAACAATTCCACTATCAGCCTGTTATTCCTTTAATAAGCTTAACCACTCTTCATAGTACTCCTCTTCCTCTTCCATATATAATTCCTTGCCAATAACCTTAGAGGTAATCGGGATATTGTCGCTATCCGACATGATAGGGTGTGTATAGGGGTATTTCGAAGGTTGTAGGTATTTCGAAGGTTGTAGGTAGGTTGTAGGTATTTCGAAGGTTGTAGGTATGTTGTAGATATAAGAGGTATGAGAGGGTGTATGAAAGGTATTTAGATAAAGGGTTTACCTTGTACAACGTGCAGTACAAAGGTGAATGCATAATGGATACAAAATCGATTTGTCACACTTAACCAATCGATTCTTTTAAATATGTTTTCCTGATACAATTATCCAAAGCATATTCTTTAGCACAACAAGAAGAGAAAGTGTACCATACCTAGTACAATGATATCTTTCTTTATAATCTCTTCAGAATTTCTACCAATCCTGAATACTACTTCTAAACACCTAATACTTTCTAATAGAATCCAAGGCCCTAATTTATGATATCACTAATTAGTGTTGGTATCAACTTGGTATTGATTAAAGTGTAAAGTACTTCAGTCTTATCAATATGATTGATTATATTATTCGTCTTGATCATTATTAACTATAGGAAGCTAGTACTTGATATAGTAGAAGTGCAAGCGCTAGTGCTAGCGCTAGTGCAATACGGTGCCCTCTTTAGATCACATGATCGATATCCCGACAGTTACCATACTGCAAACTCATCAATTTAATATCCATAAGAAAGCTAGAAGTCAGATGAACCAAATAGCACAGCACAATCTTGAATAATTCACACAAGGCTGACTCGATATAAGAAGATAGTTCAGCCTTCTATTCTGCCAGTAATAATAGTTTGAGGAATCTCGAGTATCCAATTATGATTTTTTCTAGGCGGTGAATATTTTAACTAAAGCCTCGAGTGGTGAATATATCTTTCACTTTAGGTTCCATTCCCATCTTCTTTCCCACAACAACAACATTTTCTTCAATCCCGTTATTTCGAGTGAGAACTACTTTTCTTGTTGGATATCTGAGATTCTTTCTCATTTACCTTCAAGGAAAGCGTCAAGATCTTCTACTCACATATAATATCATAATTCAAAGCATCCACTCTTTGGCATCGCCTGTACAGTATTCGAACTCTCCTAATAACAACATCTTTGCAAAGACACTTCAAGGTTCGAACTTACTTCCAACAATTTTTTATTTCAAAGCTCTGCTCCTGCTTTTGCATCGAGTCTGAGAATTTCTATAATACCTCACTATATTTTCTTCGGTCGTTTGCTCGAAATTAATACGAGTCATGTCGGAATCCATGTGAGAATATCCTCCCCTGATTACCAGGTCAGATTCTCAAAGAGATACTAACGCTCAGGAAGTGAGACTGCTGGCAATAGCTTTAAGATGTCCCCAAATGTTGCGCCTTCGCAATCAAGGTAAGAAATTCCACCATTCTCTCCTTAATCAATTTGAAAACACGAAAGTACTGATATCTCGAAGTGTAACAACCGCCGAGGGATCTTCTCTTTTGTCGGAAAATGAGGTTGCGATTGCTCGTTGGAAATTCAACAGAGCAAGAAACCGAAAAAGAACACGCGGCTTTCAGAGAGCGCATGCAATTTCAGTCGGCCGACTTTCATCAATTTCTCGCGGAAACAGCTAGAACCTCTCCAAAAGTCGCGGTGCCTTCTCCAGCTTGGGAAAGCATCCCCTTTCCTATCCCTGTAAGAACCCCTACCATTGTCGAGGAACCTGATAATCAGCATTCCGAGATGAATGCCAGTTTCGATGAGATTCAAGAAGTTCCTCGTCGTCAAGCCACTCCAATGGACTTTGGACTTGGTAGTCAACAGAATCAAGCAACTCTTGACGTTCCAACTTTTAGCTTTGACCGTCCATCTTTCGATGACAACATCAGAAGCATTGAGCTGCAGTCATTCCCAGAAAGTGAGCTTCGTACCAACGCTGAACATGCTGCCGGTGACCGAGAGGCAATGATTACTGTTGGTGCAGTCTTTGAACTTCTACGCAATCCGTCGGATGTTCGTTATCCTTTTGCCAGAGCTTCTAACATGGCTGCTGTGAGTGACAAAAATTCTTTCTATCAAGAACCCCTAACTAATTTGAATTTGATGCTAGGTTCAAAACACTCCCCACTCCGACTATAACCGCTCCGGTACTCACGTTGATACTTTGGGCGGATACGACGATGGATCTTTCAACCAAGCTGGTGTTGGTGCTAAGGATGAAAAGGAAGACAGAAACTGCTTGTTTTTGCCGTTTGGATGGATCAAACGCAAGCTTAGTAACATCCGTCACCTACTCTGATGTTTTCCGTTTGGATCAGTTGTCAATTGGGTAAACTATTTCAGTTTGAGTTGCTTGAGTAAGTATGTATGCATGACCGGTCTTAAGTTCTTTTCAAAGACCTCTTTTCACTTCGGGTGTACCAGTAATAATTTACTTGATTTTTTTCCAAATTCACTCTTGATGAGCATTCGCTAACTTCAACAACTTATAGTTCTTGAGTATAAGAGCTCTTCCATCACATCAACTTTCCTCTCGATTTCGAGCCTTTGTTTCTACCTATCTACAACTGGTAGTGTTTGATGACTCTTAAACATCGTCATTATGCATTCGAGATTTCATTGTGCATGTTAAGGATTGGTCTTCGGCATGGTCGATATGAATTCACGCTGCACTTGCGAGTGCTTCAGTTATGGAGGAAAATTATTATATTGTACCCGTTGTGATTTTCAAAGTCTGTTTCTTCCACAGGATAAGCGCTGTGGTAATGGTTGTAATAGTTTGGAGGGCTCTTGCTTGTGAAGTGCTTTCAACTTTCATGACCAGATCAACTGTAAATGTGCAGAGGAATGACTTAATTATCCTACCATGCAATAAAATTGATCTTTCGAACTAAAATTTCCCATCATTTTATTGGATATATTTGCTGGCAATGTGTGACTTCATATATTTACGGTGATGCTTCATGAAGTATCCAGCAATCTGGGATACCAAATTAGAAGTAAGTTTTGGATGTCCAAAAACAATTCACTATCCACAATGAACTCGCATATCAAGCAAACTCAATGCTCTAATTGAATCCAGCAATTGAAAGATTCTATTGAGGGTCTGCAGTCCGGTCTATGGGGATTTTAGACCGAATATATTTTGCCGAGCTACGGCTGTTTCAGATCTGGATATGCCATTATTCTACTATCCAACTTACAAATCGTACGGTCGCAAAAAGCTGGTGCGGCTAGCTAAACTAGCTCATTATCTTTCTGTCTTACGGTCTGAGCATACCGTATCTTTGGAATAATGATCGTGCCGAATTTATGGCCTTGAACGCTCATCTTCCACATCTCATCAACAGCAACATCAAACCAATATCGCAACTCATATCGACATCAACAACAACACCGGATCCCAGAATCACAGCATCAAGGTCAAAATCTTCGAATCACGTATTTCGACCCATCTCACCATCGTTAGTCGGCGTCATCACGATCCGTAGTACCATCGGAATAACTAATCTCACAGATTTTCTACTTCTTAGAAGCTACTGAACCATCCCTTTCTAACCAGTTATGATCCCTTCCCAATCCCTTGAAGGTCAATCCCAGGCCCGGAGTCGGTACTAACAAAGCTTCACAGCATCTACACAAAATGTCAGCGACCTATTACCTGCAATCTCATGAACGGTTGAGAAAAGAAGAGCTCACTCGAGCTCGCGAACGAGAGTGGCATCACAACAGCATACGTAAGCACCAGAACTGGAACGACATCCGATTTCAACTCTCGCCTCAATACGGCAAATTCATGCACTACAAAAACTTTCAGATTCAGCGACAGGTGGAAATCGATTATCTAGCCGAGCAAGCGAAAGAACTTTATCTCAAACAACAGGATCCGGAGTGGCAGGCTGAGCAAGTGAAATTAAGGAGACGGGAAGAGTATAGAAGATATGTGGTACAAAATGATTTGGTACATTGCATGACTTTGGAGGAAAAGTTTGAAAGAAAGATAACAAGAGCCAGAGAAAGAAAAGCTGCTAAGTACCAGGCAAATTTGCAGCGGTATCTCGCGGAATGTGATCGTCAAGATCGTCAAGATCGAGAAGATAAGTTGGCCTACCAAGCTATCGGGGGCTTTGCCCTTTTGTCGGTTGGTGTTATTCTGTTTTCATTCTTTTGTTAGATATTTTCAAGGTCGAATGGTGGGCATGAAGACAATTTCATGTCCGATTTATTAATGAATAATTGGAAGAGTGATCTTTGGAAGAAAAGACACTACGTTGTCCGAGAAGTTGGGGAGATGTACATATTTGAACAGTCAGTTTGATATTGCACAAAAGGATGGAAATCAGAAATTATGTTAGCAATAATTCAATATGTAAATTCAAACTACTACTCCAGGTCATGATTGATAATGGCATCTTTTTTCACAAGTCTATGTAATATATCACGCTTCGAGGGAAGGGTTCATGAGCGTATCCAAGCCGAAGGATGGGCCGCGAGATCGAAGTTTGAGCGTACTACTCTGAAGCTTGCTGGGCCGCACACAACATAGAGCGTTGAAAAACGGGAATTATATATGTATATTCAAATTGCATTCATCTCATGTAAAACTTTCTGGAGTCTGAACTATATACACCTCTTTCATTCTTCGCAGAACCGTATTTCGTCTCTTCATTCTTCACCAACTGCTTTACTATGCCTCAACAACCTAAGTAGAGTACAAAGAAGTGACCTGGTACGGCTTCGATGAGTCTAATACGGTGCAGCTATTATTTTGAGATTCTCATTCATCACCAGATCATATTCGGCGCGTACGGCGCGTACGGCGCGTACGGTTAATAGATGATCACTAATTAGCGACGTTCTCAACGATGACACTGGTCAATTACGTGTTGTATACTTTGCATGTCCTCACATACATAAGCACTCAACTCTTCTAATGGAGATAGCTTTCTTCCTTCTACACATAACACTTCTAAAAGACCAAGTCAAAAGATCTTCCTTCAACACAAAACAGACACACTTCGACTTTATCATAACACACCACTACAAAGTCAGATCCACTCAGCCCTTGACTCAAGATTAAATCAAAATACCCTCAACAATCCAAGTCAAAAGATTTACGAAACCTCGGATCATCAAAGATGTCTTCTTCTCGATCCCATGAACAAGATTTCGATTCCGACACAGGTACCCTCGCCGTCAGCAATAGAAACAGCACATACTCCACCAAGTCAGCTGGTGCATTCTCTGACGAAGGCGACTTAAGCAGCGGCGCTAGCTACAACACCGCCAAGTCCTCTAGCAAGTTTCTCAATCAAGATCACTTCGAAGATGTCAGCAATGATCTTGAACTCGGCACACTTCCTACGATGAACCCAATTGTCCAAAACTCTACACACAACAAGACAGCTCGTCGAGGTAATTCCAATACCCTTATGAAGGGCATGCGCCGCAGCAAGTACTACGATTTCTGTGTGGCCAGCATCTACTCCTTTGGACTCTGTACCGCTATCCTGTTGCCTATCGCTTTGATTCCAGTCTACACAAACGATATCAAATTCACAGTTTCGGTTGACATGAAGAATATCGAAGTTGTTAACGGCACCGTCAATTACGGAAATGGTACGACTGCTCCGGTCAACGATTTCAATCTTTTTGGTTCAAATCTTACGGTTGCGACTTGCAATTATATCGATGCTAATGATTTGTGTACGAATAATACACATCACCATATCAGTATCTTGTGGCCTTGCTTTATTCTGTTTGTGATCCTATTGTATAGATTTATCTGGGATATCGTTGGTGCCAGATATGGTTTGGTCAAGATCAGACTTGGGAGAAGAAATGCAAATCAGTAAATGGATCTATCATCCATGGAGTGCTGAAAGTTAGGAGCAGTGGGCAACGGGTGGTAGATAGCGGATGGCGGATGGCTGATGGGGATGATAGGTGATTTGGTGATAGGGCACAGAGTTCGTTGAACGATGAACCTCTCGATACTCTCTGCTGTTGCTTTTCGCGTCTCTTCCACTTTTCTGGAGAAAGCGTAATGAAACTCTTTTTAGGTTGTTATGGCTGGGGAAAAATGGACACACCAAGAAGCCTCTTGTCGGCTGGAATCTCGTTCTGGGTTTATTGTCAGCGTTATGAGTGGAAGGGTTAACTGGGGATAGGTTGGGGGATTAGTTTCTTGTGACTTCTTCTTAAGTTGCAGCTTTGCGCAATGAGCCTTCAGATACCAATGATTAATCAATTGATAATATCACCATCCAGTGTAATATTTTGTTCCCGTGAGAGATATTGATGACTGGCTCATGATCTGACATTCGACTTGAAAAAAAAAAGACAGAATGGGCACGGCAAACTGTTCACTGACTAGATAAATCAGCATTAGTATGAAGACATAATGACACTGCGGAGATCAAGGAAGAATGGTATCCACTCAAAAATTGCCTCCGGTCGAGAAGATGGAGAAAAGAGAAGAAAACTTCCAGAAACGTACCACAGGCACAGATTTTCACCGTGTTCGATATCATTGAGGTCTATCTTTACCTTCACCAAGAAGAATAAGACCTCAGCCTATGATTGTTTCGTTGTTCCGGCAAAGCTACGCTCGAGAACAATTGAGATCCTGTATTGGATGCGTGAACCCCTTCTACGTCATTCATAAGAAATCGAAAAGGTGTAAGATATATCTGCAGCGATTCAGAAGCTGTGGTAAACCATGGCACCGCATTTTCAGAAGCAGAAAGCTTGAATCAATTGGGACTGATCATCGCTCAGCTGCTGAGAGGGGTTCACTCCTTGGCTTTTATTATATCAAAAGAATAGATACATCTTCAACATTCACTTGGTCATATATAGTCAACTAACTGGTCCCTGTAGAGCTACACAATTGATTTGGTTAAGAAATCGGTGTCAATTTTGCTACATTTGACTCCCCAGATGGAGCGACATTCATCGCTCCAGGTACGATGATTGCCAAGAAATATGCATCTTCGCAAAATCTCAGGGACGAAAAGACTAAATTGAATCAACGGGTGGTCTAAGAAATGTTGGGATTGAAGGTATATGAAGACTTTGGAACGAAACATCTTGTCGGAAGGGTCTAAGTGTGGAACAAGTATTCCAATGATGAATATGCTAGCTACTATTGAGTGTGAGTTGAAGTGAGGAGTATTTCACCAAGCTAGTACTACTGCAAAATATATATTTGTAACAACTTTTAAACGAATTCGTTTGCTTTTCTTGATATATTCGTCACAAACAGTAGGATCAATAATGCAGGCAGCCTTCGGTGATGTGAGGCTAGCAGATTGGAATTTTGCAAATGTACCTGGTGTTCAATTGTTATGATCGATATACACAGAAAATAAGAAATATTATTAGACATGAAAGAGTATCATCGTCGAAAATCATCCAGCTCCTCACAAATTTGTGGTGCTCAAGATCATCTCAATATGATTCACGGAAAGAGGCTCTTTCCCCTCTCTTGCGAGTGACACTGCACATGAGACCGCATTTTTAATCTGTCGTCCATTCAACTTAAGTCTCGCGAGTTTCTTGATATCAGCTGGATCGATAGTAAGAGTTCCATTTTGTTTCGAGATAATGTTAATGAAGTGGTCCAAACGGACACGCGGCTAGATTCCGTGAGATCAGGATATTCGACAGAGAAGTGTATGCGGCCTAACCTGGTATTAGCTCAAGAGCATTGCTTCTAGGGATACTACGTACTTTGAAAGGCTAGATCAATTTCTGACTTCCGATTTGTGGTCAAGATCAAAACCCCCCTAAAATACTCAAGCCTTCGTAAAAAAGATACTGACGAGAGTGTCGCGAGCAAGATCGGTTCCTCGTGCTCCAAGAAATCATCCGCTTCATCTATAAGTAGAACACAACACCATCGTCTACTGATCTCTAGTATCGTACCTAGACGTCTATCGACTTCATCGGCAGCGATTCCAAGCCCTCCTGTGCTGACTTGGTACAAGGGACGGGAGGTAACTTCAGCAACAGCTCAGCAGTTAATGTTTTTCCAACACCAGGACCACCGCTGAGCAGTCCAACGAGACCTTTCCCTTTATTCTCGATGATGTCATCAAAGGAGGCTTCGTCTTGTCGGTGAGCTCTGACCAATGCGTGAATCAATTTTCGTCTAGTCTCATCAACAACCAGCTTCTCGAAAGCATCCTCATTCCAAACGATATCTTTCAAGCTATTAACAGAAAATTGACCCCAACATTTGTGAGTCAAACTGAAGCCATTGATCCAGTTTGCGCAAATCATTAATTGATCATCACGCAAATCCAAATCTTTACCAGTTATACGGTTTCTCTCTCCGGATACGTGGTTGATTCAGACTCGACCAACGATTATTGGACTTCCAAGCCTCCGGATCTGCCATAACACGACCATGAAACTATCAAATTGTTAGTCTAGAAGCTCCGAAAGAACATATTGACATACGTTAGCCTTCTCAACCTTCATTCTTCCATCTGCAAGTTAGGGTTAGGGTTACTTGTAATCGAAGATGATATCGATACTGATAAACACAAAGATGAGAAAACCACTATTGAAGAGTTTGATGATCTAGTGGATGCTTCTGATATCAGTTCAGATGGTAATTCAGCAGAGACAGATTGGAGTGAAGGGTCAACATCAGGTGATTCGGATGAATTAGACGACGAGGATCAATGAAACGATTGGGCCAATGAGCGTCAACTTTGAAGATCTCAATAACGAGTTTGATGACTCAAACTATCAAAAATCAAATGATGTTGATGATTTCGGCTCCGATATTCCAGAAGTTCCAGATTAACGACAATCTCTTGGATGATTTCAACGAATCGGAAAACGAAGAAGAAATGGGGGGTATTGGATAAAGATTCCGATATCGAGATGATCCTATCCGGAGCACCAGGATACGTTCTGAAGCGGGCTCACTTCGAAACGGACCCCGAAGACACAGAGTCGTCTGTAGCTAGTCATTATTCACAGAGTCCTTTGTAGTGGTTCAGAAAGCAGCAACAGCCAAGGGGATGAAGATTCCATGGATAACGAAGAGTCAGAGAGACTGGAGAATCTCTACCTTGGGAAGAAGGACCTTGGAAAGGACGCACCTCGCGTTTCAATCCAAATATTTGACACTACGATGCAAGACCAAACGCCAATCTTCCACTTTCTGAACGTGTATCTGGGGGATATTCCACTCCCCTCCCAACTTTCACCCAACAGCATCACTTCTGGTCTGGCCCTTAGGTGACGGCAGAGTGTTGTTCGCAAATTACTTAACCAATACGTACTTCACCAGAGAACTTTGTTGTTCTACATACCACTCCTGTCACATTTTTGTCGAGACCAAATTCTCCTCCTGTGGTAGATTCATTCACTTTGCGGCACTCGAAGGCCGTCCCGTTGAAAAGAAATCTGAAATGCATCTTAGTCTCCAAGTTTCAACCCACCATCTATCCTCCCGCAAAACGGCCAGAAGTCCTCCTCGACTGTTGTTCAAGATAAATGCGGCGCTAGGAGAAAGCGCTCGCATGAGTGTTAGTCGACTACCGTATACTTTAACGTGGACGAATACAGAATTGTTCTTTGTTACCCGAGGAGAAGAGTTGAATGTTATGAGGATTCCATTATTCAAAGGAGCGGATGATAAGACGGTTCCGGTATGCTATACTCAAAATTCAATCTATCTTCCCCGATCTGCAGAATCGAGAAATGTTATATTACTTCCCTCCTTCTCCCTCAAAATCCAAGAAGGAAAAAGGCAAAGCAAAAGGAAAAGAAGAAGTCGGAAAATTATCATCGAATCAAATTCTTCAGTGCCATCTCAAGGATTGATAGTCACAAGAAAAGTATGACACAGCCCCCTATCGGTGTATTGGTGAAGGAAGATACTGATCTTGGGGGATGGAACTGCAAGAATGTGGATTTAGAGACGGATTGAAAAGGGAAAGAAGGAGAGGATTAATGTGCTAGGTGGGAGATTGCAGGGAAAGTTTGAAAGTTTTGATTGAAGGAGGATTGTGATATTATTCCTTATTTGTTTTAATTTCTGGTGATTGCAATCGAGGTCTGAATAGCTAGCATTTATCTAACGAAGAGAAAAAGGGGGTGGTGCGCTTTTGGTGATACGCGTTTCGCTAATCTTGCATACCTTCACTAAAAGCCCCAATGGCCATTATCTTAACATGCCAAGTATTGGAGACTATTCTTGAGACCGTACACATACAATGACTAGGTGTTATTTTTGTGTATCTGAAGAGTGAGCAAAACTATTGCCGCTTGAGGTGATCACTGAGCTCAAGGTGTCGTGGTCTACCTAGGTCGGTACTGTCGAGCTTTTCCATTTTCAATCACAATAAGGTGCCGATTGGCATCAAAGAGATGTTCAAAGTAGTGATGTCACCCGCACTGAAGATTAATCTTAGAGTTCCTATTTCATCTTCCTTCTCCCTTTGCAATTCTCATGTTGCTATTCACTTGTATTATTCAAACTTCCAATTACGATTTCCGCTTCTTCCTGTAAATTTCTTTTTTGTATTTTACCGTCAAAAAGGTTAGAGTAAAATCTTCAATTCTGTCAACCTCTTTTCCATATAAATCTGAATTCGAGTTTCTAGCCACAATTCCACTTTCACTCATCATCTTCTTAGGGTTGCAAATTCCAATTGAAACAGAGTATTTATCTTCAAATTATTGTTTCGAGAAAAAGCTGGAGCTTAAACGATTATGTTTTGGTAGTATCACAATAATACATGCTACTAATACTCTACTATCTCCTCAAGTTGACTCAAAGTGTTTTTCTTTTCAAGAAAAAAGCTTCCCCTGTAAGATAGTGGCCCCCCAAGACTAAGAACAGAACGAAATTTTTGCGCAACTTCAATACGGCCTGTGAGATTCCTCATTTCTGTGTATAAGCAAAACTACTCCTTGAACCTTCCGAAACCCCCACTTGTAGTCACGAATATGACGATTTGACCTTCAGTTGTATCATCCAACTATATCAACACCAAGGCTTTTGTCACGGGGCAACATCGCCCCCAGCATGTCTCCTATCCCAATCATTTGTTTTGAAACCAATCTCAACAGAATAAGTTACGGCAAATTCTCGTCAGAAGCCACCGCAATTCTATCATGTTCCATCTCAAAACGAGATTAGGGGTAGATTTATAAGTCATTTTTCCCTCCGGATGTGCATGATCCGATAGAGAGACTGGGCCCACAGTACATGGTGCCATCAAAGCTGTTTGTCGGTCCAATGAGGAGAAAGCCACTCCAGGCGCCTGAGCGGGTAAGATCGAGACATTCTGTGGAACACGGAGAATTGCCATTTGTTAACTGATGTTTGATGGCTTTCTGGATAGTTTTGGCTTCTGCAGCTGTGTCACAGTTTCTACCAGTCGCATAATACACCCAAGAAACACCGTCCACTGAATTAAAGTTAGAACCCAGTTACTTTTCAAGTCCGAGGTTTTTTGCCATCAGATAATCAGGATTGCAGCTTTTGAGATATCTTCACAGCTCCTATTCGTTGGGAAAGAACATATTCTATACCAGAAAATGACTTACATGAACCATAAGACTTGCTGCACCTACCTGCGCCTGATATAAAATTTATCGCGGTTCTGATGTTAGTGGAGTAATAGAGTGATGTCATGGAACTCAATGCGAGGAGGATTGACGTTGTGATACGCATGTTTAGCTAGATACGGCGAAGAGTGCGAAAGCTTAATGGCGCTGGCGATAATTTTCTAGTTGTAATAGTAGTGTAGTGAAGAGAGCTGCGATGAAAATATCGTGGACGAGCTACCGGTATTTGTACAAAATAACCGCCAAGCTTTCAGTTAGGTGGGCTTTAAAACTAATCAATATGTTGACTGTTTCTTGATTCTTGCTTGTGTGCTGGGTTTTTTTACTGCGAAAGAATGGATCTTTTTAATCCCTACAATTCATTTTGATACCGACGGCTTGGTAACCAATGTCTGAATCAAGAGGCACCTTTTCGTCATTGCTAAATATGTCACCGAAGTTACGGTGGGAATTAAGTGGAACTCAACACTAAAGAGTGCATCTGCTAAATCGCGGGATACTAAAATCACACTGTCTTACTCACAGTGTTCCCTGCCATAACTCCGCTAGTACTGTTAGAACATTCAAGCATGATGTTCGTGAGGATTTGTTTTTTTAAAGTTGTTATAAGTCCGCTCCAGTCTGTTTTTAGGTGATTTAAGCTGTGTCTCTGGCTAGACTGGAGTCACTGATGCTAGTTTCTTCTATTTTTGGATTTGAGTTTTTGAGAATTTTGATTTCTATCTGCATTATGTGTACAAAAAGCCAGAAAAAAAACACGTCCGTTGAAATGTGAGTTTCGCCCTCCAAAATTCTGGTAGCTCTGCTCCTCACTTAACCACTTTCTACGGATGGTTCTTCCGATTGCCCCACCCCCACCCTTTGAGAAGGTAATACTCTTCTTGCATGGGCATTCAAATAAATTTCCGCCTATATGGATGTGACCTCCGCTCCTGTCAATGCTGTCATGAGCTAATACCGATATCCTTACGAAGCACAACCTATACCGGACATTGAAGCACATAATTCAGCGAACGCAAAATATATGTCAACAAAAGGAGAGTAGTAGGTCTGTTAGATTCCGATTTACCCTGAGAGCTATGATATAAGAGGAATGATTTTCGACAAGGGCTGAAGTTCCCTATTCACATGTGAAAATTCCCGCAGTATTCCAACACCTGTGTAAATTCACCAACAAGAGCTCACACTAAATAACTTTTCAATAAGATTCTCCCTATAACTTTAGTGATGGTGTAACAAAAATTGCTATTTCGTTTTCTCACGTGCTAGTTGAGGTATCAATACATGGAATGTTGCTATATGGGTTTTTTTACCGTTTCTTATTCCCTTTATTTTCAATCGGAAGGCCCGGTAAGAACCAGGGCTCAAAAAGGCTTAGTGCGTGTTCTTGTTGATGAGTTTCCACAATAGATGCCAGAAGACAAGTTTTACAAGTGAGGGATGAGTTGCATTGATCTGGAAGTACGGAGTACAATACAACAGTCGATCTCTTTTACACTCCACCTAGGTAGCTTAGTCATGAAGTCATGCAGGTAACGCCTTTCGACAACACCTTCCTTCTGTCCCCACTCGCGCGGGTGCAGGCGGCTCGGACCGAATAGTTAGCTGAGCTTTAGATCGCACCGAGCAGCTTCGGCCACCACTCCACAGAGAGACAGACAGGCGAATTTCACACCCTAGGCGGATAAAAACTGCACACCGAATCTGTCCAAAGTCGCAAAACGATAAAAGCTTATTCACTTCAATACTGTATTGTATCACTAAACATGAAGCGGCTGTCGAGAAATTAGATTGAAACCATAATGCATCATTTTCAAAGGACTCTGCTTGAATCTCAAATGAGAATAGTGATAAATCGATTTAACGTATAATTTTGAAAATCTAGTCCCTCTTTAATGCGTGGTATCTCCCGTCCAGGACGTGACTGTCGTTATCGAAGCTTTGACTAAAGTGCACAGCCCAATTGTGCCAATTAAGCGGGCCTGAGTGAAACTAACTGGCGGGACCAGGCTTTAGTTGCATCTAGTCGGGTGCATACCATGTCAATTTGATACACTCAGCGTAAGTCTACAGCCCTATACTCCGTAGGTAAAACTCCCTCGCATACACAAAAACGGGTATCCGGGCACCAAATTTTTATCCACTATATCAATTGATCCAATTGGTAGAGTGAGGTCTTAGGTAGCGCAAACGAGGAATCTTAAACCCCACAAAGCTAGCTTAAGCTAGGTTTCTCGAGTTATACGCCATATGACCTTATTTTCTGCAATCTATGTGCTGTAAGCCGCATCAAGTAGATTTATTTCAAATCAGGAAGTTCGCAACTTAAACAGTCGTTCTTTTGCCCCACGTTCGAAGAGATTCTCCAACAGTTGGTGACTTTGGTCCCAAGTGGAGCAACCCTCGTATAGATTTGCCGAGCATCGCCCATCTGCCTAGCCTCTTATCCAAGCAGAGCTGAGCTATATGTATATATTACATCTCTGCAAGTACATTATCTACTCAATCAAATAGAGCACTGCATTCATATACTTTATCAAGATGCCGTGAGTCCTCACTTATCCCGATCCGTTTTGAGAATTGAACACCCAAACGTATATTGAACCTAATTGATAACAGCGAATTCCAATTGCCACCCCTACTCATTAAAATTGAGCAGTCCCTGCCATATATCATTTCGCCTATCCTTCTCTTCTCACTTGTGTTAACGATGTACATCAATGTCGACAAATCACATGCAAATAGGATCTTTTGTCCCAGATATCCTTTAGCGTATACTTTTGCTACTATTTTTATAGACAGTAAGCTTCTCGCTTCCGGTTGTAAAGATTGAGTATTAACGAGATTTGGATAATTAGACCAAATACGCCACACCGTCGTTCGTCATCAGAAGCGCCAGCGGAGAAAGAAAATTGAGGGAGATATGAAGAAGTAGCCTGGGCGATAGGCCCAGAAGGCATGTAGATGTGGAGTGATATGGGAGAATAAACTTCAATTTTAGGCCAAGAAAGGAGTTACTAGTTCTATTAAATGTGTTCCCCACTCACTCCTACTTGTATATACCTCATGAGAGAAACGCAAATATTGCATGAATACTGTAGACTGTGTCGTGTCACTTGTGCATACGTGCTCTTAAAGCCTGTAAACGTAAGAAAAGGATCTTGAACGACTATAGTACAATTCCGCAGGTATAATGGCACTCGGTGTAAGTTAAGTACTCCAGCTTCGGACCAACTTTTTTTGGATCAGCATTATACAGCAAAAATGATCATTCTAACCTATCAATAACTCTATCAGCATTTGGTAGGTATTATGGGATGAGATCTTCAATATAGAGTTCTTGAATAAATATCAAGCAAATATGAATGATACCGGGCTGCCGGGGAATGAGGCTACGGTGCGGTTATCCGTTGATTCAGCCACTGCGACCAACAAAAGCATTCCTCACCTCTCCGCAGAATCAGATCATAGTGGTAAGATACCCGACTATTGCCGTGAAGCAAGTTAATAGGAGGAGAGTGGTACTTAATATATAGGATATAGTGTGTACTAATGAGTGAATGCTTTTAGGGAGATAGTGTTTGGGCGCCGAATCTTAATTGCGCGTGTGTCACAGACGAGGAAAAGTAAATGAATCGAATTTATTGAAAAGCTTTCAATTTTTAATAAGCCTACTCTTAACGGCAGATTACCCTCATACCCTAAATTTGAGAAGTGATTTGCTCTCATGCCTTTTAGATTCTATGATAGAATTCGTCCATCTCAGGCTAGAATCTAATGTGGAGGGGGGGGTAGATTCAATGGTAGGAGGGTATTCTAGTCACTTTAAACTAGATTCTATAGTTTAAGGGTAGATTCTAATCATTTCAGGCTAGAATCTATAAAGGAGGAGAATAGATTCTATAGGTACCTATATTACTACCTACTCTCCCTTTGAACTTTTCAATTGAATTCCTCTCTTTTTTTATTTTTATTATAGGCTAGAATCGATATAGAATCTAAGGGGCATGAGAGTAAAGCAAGTGTCGCTCGGTAATTTGTCGTACTTTTAGATCTACGATTGTATAGCCCTGAGGTAAGACACTTCAAATGTAGTATATATTTTTATTTTAAAATTCAAACAAAAAGAAACGATTTCAGATATTGAAAAGAAAGTTTCTTGGAATTGAAGTTGTTCTTTATAGATGTGTTGATAATAAAGAACTAAGTTCAGTGAATATATATGTTATTTACTATACAGTAAATGTTTGCATGATAGCCGAAAACAGAGTTATTATCCTTTTTTCTTGTTAGACTTTATCAAAAATCAACTACTCATTGAATTAAGTTTTTAATGATACATTTGGTCGCCCTTTAGGAAGGTAACTTTGTCAAAATTTGGAAGCTTTTTGACAAATAACTAGTGCTGTTCAGCATGTTGTTACAAGGATTGAATGATGTAGCATCATTTCTAAAAGATTCATCTTCTTTCTCCCGGTAAAGGTACTGAATTCACTGAGAAACAGCTGCTCCAAGAGAATGTACAGGGTGGCATTCAAATGCGAATTCGACTCCCACTTCAAAAATAAAATCATTGTTCATTAGGTTCAGCATGGATTTGTATAGCCAAACTCGTCCTGAACGCTTGGAATGATATAGTGACTTCCAATCGCTCACTTGAACAAATGGGATACGAATATAATAAGTTATAAAGTCATGATATGCAGAAACAAATATTGAGTTTCATTATCATAAAACAGTACTGTGACTACAAATGTCGTAATCTACAGTTCAAAAATTTCAAAAACCATTCTCAGGCCAACGACCAACCAAATTTGTGTCGAAAAAAACAAACGATCCTCGCTCCAGTTCCACTCTTATACAAAATGTTCCCATCTAATCCATCCCAGTTCATAATCTCATATCCCAAGCAATGCGTTGTGCCATGTTGGCCAACACTTTACTTCTTGATGGGTTCTCCCCAAGCGTTCAACTGTTGACCACCACTTCCACCGCTTCCTCCAGTGGCACCTCCAACACCTCCAAGAACGCCACCCAAAGCACCAGTAGCTCCGCCAGCAACATTGCCAACAGTGTTGGTAGCGCCACCAGCTACATCACCAACACCGCGAACAGTAGTGTTCAATGTGTTTCCGAGTCCTTCAGTTGTCTTGCCGAGGGCACCGCCGACTCCGCCGAGAAGGCCACCTTGTCCGTTTGCTTGGGCGCCGCCTGTGAGAGTGTTATCGAGTGCGCCGACGAGTCCGCCGAGGAGTCCCCCACCTTGAGACATGATTATTTTGGTTTGAGGGGTTGGGTTTGTTTTGATTTGGAGGAGGGACTTAGTATTTGATTTTGATTTGAGATTTAAAAATCGTGTGTAGATTTGCAGATGATGTGTTTGTTGATAAGGAGGAGAAATTACCCGGCAGAAAGCCCCCAGATATATAGTTCTCCAGCTCAACTATTCTCGTCTAAACCCCGTGTTGGCATATGCATATTGACGCCACAAATGGTGGATCACTTCCATCATCTTCTCGATCTTGGGTCGATGGTAATTTCAGGATTTTCCTGTTTTTTCCAAAAATCAAGGCTAGGATCCATGTTGGACCCTGACGTAGATCGGATATTAAAAATGACTGGGATGTTGGAGGGTCCAACCAACGGTCTTCCAGAACGCATGTCATGATTAAACACCTGTCAGACATCAATGGTGGGGTAGTCTGATGATAGGGAGGGATTGAGATTGACGTAATTGATGGAAAGAATGGGTACGGGATCTAGATTATGCATGAGATCGTGATGAAGAGGGTCGCAAATGGGGCAAGGAAGGTCGACCCGAGGTCACAGCCACACTGATTATCATAAGGAACTTGCTTTTAGCGACCTATGTGATGAATTCTTGTTGCAAGCCTTGCTTACAGCTCGTCTGGTGAACGATTGGTTGGAGCCCAAGAATTATAACGTGAGTTTCACGTGATATTTCGGACATTTTCCACAACTCCGCCAAAAAAGGTTGAATGATACCATGAAATGGAAAAAAATAACGAAGCAAATTGCGACGAGGCTCTTTTGAATGACTCGTGTGATGGAACTAGAAGATTGGGAGTCGGCCGATAATGTTTGATATCTAACAAGAATCTAATCATGGTCAAGCCAATTCCATCCCTCTTCTTCCAGTATGTGAGGGACTCGAAGACCTTATTCTCTAGAGTGACCCATATCCACTCATATTAAAACCTCCAGGAATAATCCCTTACAATCCGCCTATTCATCTTTAAATAGCCTTGTAACAAAAATCGCTGCCGTCACTCGGATATTTATCCGAAAAGAAGGTCCCACTATCATCACTCAAAACCACATAACCCGTAGTATCACCCGTGTTAAAGTCATCCATCCATGAATTGTACAACGTGCAGTTACTGGTCAAGGGCGTCCATGAGTATGATATACATGCTGTTACACCACGACAAGTAGATTGACATTTCAGAATGTCGGCGTAGGGGCCTGATCCGAAATATCGTGCGGCAAGGGCTGTGTCGGCTGTACCTTGGACATTGCAACCATTGATAGTTTTGGTGGCAATTGCGGCAGAGGAAGTGGTGGTAGTTGTAGGGATACTGGTTGTAGTGGGTACATCAGTGGTAGTAGGTAAATAAGTTGTGGTGGCTGTAATGGTTGTGGTTGGTGTATCGTCTTGGGGTGCTGCAGTCCGGGCGATGATTTCCACAGCGGGGTTCAGTGGAGAAGCAATCGCGAGAGATATGATCATAAAGAAAAAGAAAGTTGAAGTTAGGCGAGCCATCTTTTCTGTTTTGCGGTCGTAGTCTTCGAGAATTTGAATCGAATGTAGTTCGAGAATAGAAATATCTTTGAAAATGAGGAATTGTAGATTTATTTATGAAAATTCGTGGCCTTGTACCGAAGATTTCGCGATGACCCTGGGATCTAGAATAAGCAAAATTGAATACTACCATAGGTGATTACCATTTGTCAGAGATATTGGTTCTTTTGCAGGTGCGTTAATTCAGCCTGAATAATTATGGTCTTACAAACTGCACAGAGCCTCGTATCATGCACTTTCGTTGAAAGTCATTTCTTCATTCGTCTACCCTGTTTGTTTTTACCTTGCGAAAAATACGAGGAAACCACTAATAGTCAGCAGCTGTGCCGATATTCAAGCTTTTCTCATACGGCAATCAGCTGCAAGCCACTAAATATTTTCACCGCCTTAGGGATTTTATTCAGCTCGTTGTTCACGAACTTGCGTCAATAACGTTCCATGCTGAAGTGCGTTCCGAACATTAGACATAGCAAGGGCTTCTGATTTGTGCTACTTTTCGTTAGTTGAAGAATGCAATTGAAAGTATTGGTGCTTACAATTGTTTCGACAGTGCCAGCAGCCATATGCGGAGTCAGGACAACATTCTCATTTGCTAGCAGCTTGGGATGTACTTGAGGCTCATTCTCAAAAACATCCAAACCAGCGCTGTATAGTTTACCAGACTCAAGGGCTTCGACCAAAGCTTGCTCATCAATTATAGGCCCACGCGAAGTATTGATCAGAATGGCTCCATCCTTCATTTGTGCAAATTCGTTCGAGCCGAGCGTGTACTTAGTATCATCCGAGAGTGGAAGGTGTACTGAAATGATATCGCTTGTCCGCAGAAGTTCTTCAAAAGAAACGTATTTGGTGCCCGGAGGTGTCCTTTCCACGGGAAGGGGAGTTCGGTTGTAATATTGAATATGCATGTCAAACGCTGCGGCTCGTTTGGCTACTACACTACCAATATTGCCCATGCCGAGTATCCCCAGAACTTTGCCTTCAGGATCATGTCCTAACCCAGCATGCCCACGCCATTGGCCATTTCGGATTGACAAAGAAGAAATCCACGATCTGCGTAAAGCACCAAGCAAGAGGTATATGGTAGCATCGGCTGTTGCGTTACCAATATCTGCTGGCGAGTTTGAAACGGCGATGCCTGCAAAAATATGTTACAAATGGTTCGAAATATGTACTTTGCAATCTTTTCTACCTTGGATAGTGCAGGTATCGATATCAATTTGATCGTACCCAACCTGAGGAGCACATACGAATTTGACCGATTTTGGCAAAGATTGAATAAGATCGGTGTCAAAACGACCAGTGTACTATTTCTGTAAGCCCATGTCGGCTGAAATGTAAGCTCACGTACTTTGTAAGCATCTTCGCATCTTATTATTACTACCACTCCATCGTAATGCCCGGAATGGCAACCATTGCGGAAAGTATCTCTGTCTCCATCCTTAAGATGCTATTATCTCAGATTAGCATCGCGAACATTTTTCGTGACAAATGAACACTCACAATTAATTCCGCGATATCCGACAAATTGCTCCATTCCGAAGATGCACAATAAATTGTTCCTATGAGCAGCACTTTAGGTAAATCCATCACGACTGTCAAGATTGATTTTTAAAGTGACCAGGTCTCTGTGGGATTAAAATGCAGTGAAAATTTGGGAGGGATGGTTAGAGAAGGAATGAGATGAACATCTTACTATTCTATCCAAGAATCAATATCCAGCTGAACTGTCTTGTGGTAAATAGATTGATTCTGCCGAACAGTTGGATTTGTGGATGCATCAATCGTATAAGTCGGGTACCCCACTTTCTGGCCACCCCTCTTTTGAGCCACTTTTTACACCAAAAATACACCAAAAATGAAATTTTTAATTTTCTTATTTATGAATAGAATTTATTGATAATTTGTATATATATAATTTAAATCGCTTCAAGCTTATTCTGAAATTTTCAGATTTTTAGGATTTTTCTATATTAAAATCTAAAGCTTTAAAATATCGATTTTTAAATTTGATACTTTTATAAAATCTTTAATAACTTCTTAATAAAAACTACTAAAAATAAACTATAAAATCTTATTATAAATTTATAATATATTCAATATAAAAGATTCAGAAAAATAGAAAATCTCTTATAAATAAATATTTAAAAAAGTATTTTTAAAATGACAGGGATTATTTATATTATTCTATATTCACTATATATTATATCTCTATATCTATTAATTTTTTTTAATTTCTTTTTAAATTTTTATATAGATTAAATTCAATTTTTTTTTAAAAAGATATATAGTTTTCTTTTAATAATTATTATTAAAAAATTATTAAAGATTTTATAAAAATTCTAAATTTGTATATAATTTTTATATAATTTTGAAAATCGATATTTTGAAACTTTAGATTTCAATTCAAAAAAATCCTAAATATCTCAAATTTCTAGAATAAACTTAAAATAATCTAAATTATATACATAAAAATTTTCATTAAATTATATTATATATTAATAGAGATATTAATAAACCTAAAAAGTGATTTTTGATATAAAAGGATAGCCCAAAACAGAGGTGGCCCGAAAGTAGGGTAACCGACTTATGCAATGCGCGACGATCCAAGTTGAGCGCACGCGTCTCTACCGAGCGAGCCGAGGTAAGGTAGTGGAATAAGATCTCACAGATCAGTGTTCAATTACTCTTCACTACCGTCTCGTTAATTGGTGACTTGACAACCGCGTGAAGATGTAGACGATGCAAACGCCCACGACTTGCACAGCGAGCGACATTTGCCTGCCTTGCCAATTGCAACCTTGCAAATATAGCGAGCAAATGTCCCTGTCAACCATCATCCATCCTGCCCTCCGTCGGATGGCTTTAAGGGGGGTAGTTGAAGAATGAATAGACAAACAGACTGAAAATCTTCATTTCGTGAATGAATATCAAATTGACTTCGAGAGAGTAAGTACTCTGTGACCGGAGTATATCCGAGGTCCGAGACAATTCGACGGTCCATGCGGATATTGAGCTGAGGAGGATGTCGATAAGATAAGATAAGATGATAAGATTATGAGATGAGATGAGATAAGATGAGACTAAAGAATCACCGTGAGCTCCAACCATTGCAACCTCAAACTCAACCTTACATCAACTTTGTTTCACAAGACTAGCGTCATCGTTGAGAGCGTTTCAGGTATATATTTATATAGTCAAACCCCCCAAAGGAGGAGGATGAATACATGCATGAAGTAGATGAGAAATTCCGTTGCATGTCTGGTTTCTGGATATTCACCGTTGAAATAGAGAATTTCATTCATTTAGTTGGGTAAATTGTTCTGTTGCATATCTGATTCTTGCGCATCGACCGTTCGAAGTACTGAGTTTACATGCACGATTGATCATTTTGAGTGATGCTTTGCTGTATACTAACATATCAATAATAAGAAAGTAAAACTACCTACCTGATATTCACTGACATGATGATTGGAGGGCCAATGTCACAGCCGAGAGTCCCCCTTTTCAAATGGGCTTAACGTAACTAATGATTATTTGCCATAATTATAAAATTTCATTACAAGAAAACAACGCTACATAATCGTATACTCGTACTTCCAAACATTGAGAAACCAAAATAAATCACTTCAGTTGAGTCCCTAGAAAAAGTTAGGGGATTATTGACCATGTGGCAATTAATCGACTGAACTCACTATGATTATCGACTTTCGACTCATCCATTCTACCATAATTATTATCAACAGCCTCCTCAACCTCTTCACCTTTCTTCTTCGACGAAAACAACGAACCAAATGACCATACAGATCCCTTCTTATTTTCTGTTCTCACATCATCATCGGCATCAATGGTTACAGATTCACTTGGTTCTTCCTCCTCCACAGGCCCATCAGTATCTGCCTTCTTGGCCTTATTTGAGCTCCAGAAAGAGCTAACTCCTTTGGATGCATAAGTGGGAATAGCTGCTCCAGCCTTTAAGCCTGTTGAAGCTGCGCCAGTGAGACCAGATCCAGCAGCAGATGCGTATCCAGATACACCGGATCCTGCTCTTTGAGAAATCCGGTAAAGACTTTGAAGATATGATTCTCGCTGCTTTGTATCGAGGTCATTTTCTTGGATATCTGGCAGTGGAATCGCTGCAGCCGCAGCCACAATATCAAGAGGCGAGTCATCGACTCCGTCCATGTCTAAATTAGGAATCGATTCGGAGTCTGTAGCTGTTGCCGTTTCAAGATCTTCTGTCTGCACATCTGTAGCATCTTTCGCCGGTGCAGCATCTGGAGAAGGTTCTAGCGGTGGTGGAATATCCACGAGGTTGTTGTCGGCTTGGAACCATTCAACAACTAGATCTCTTGCCTGTTCCGACATTGCATCATAATTATCGTTGGTCTGTGGCTTGAACATACTCATATGAGCTTGAACTTCATCCTCGACTGCCCCATTAACAGTTCGAATGAAAAGATCGTGAGACTTTTGTCCTGATGCAGGTATTGCAGAGAAAGTTCTCTCCGGAACGAAATATCCACCTGTCCAGTATCCGTTTTCTCCCAATGAAGTATAGAAATTTCGAATTCCAACTCCTTCAATCTTGGACAGTCTTTCAAGTCTTTGGACCATCTCTTTTTGTCTCATCAAAGCACCTACAAACTTAAGGTGGCTTGACAACCATGCGAAAGATTGGCCGACGCTATCTCGATTGATGTATGCGAGCCCCTGTCCCAATGCATCGTAACCTTGCTCCGCTCCATCCTTGAGAGAGTTTTTGTTCAGGTTCTTGACGCCTGAGATAATGGTCTCGCGATTTCTATATGCCGCCACACCACCAGCAGCAATTGCTCCTATGACACCGGATTTGACTGCAATTCCTTCCCAAATCTTCCATCCTGGACTTGCAGTCCTGGTTGTAGCTGTCAAAGAGCTTCCTGCTTGTCTGGCAGCTTGTTTCGCAGTCATGGTCCCTAAGGATCTAGCACTAATAAGGCCAGCTGACGCCGCTGACATTACATTCCAGATGTTGCTAACCTGCATCAAAGTCAGTACTCATCAAACCAGAGAGGGTTTAGCTCTTACTTTATTGTATTGTGAGAAAGCACCATAGACAAACATGGAACGAGCGAGACCATTGTAAGGGGTATCAAAAGCAAGAATTCCTTGGATAAGAGGAAATATGACATGATTGGAGTCCTCGTCCTCTTTATCATGATGATCATTAAGAATTGAGAATAGTGCATCAGATGCTACAAACCCTCTGAATATATAGTCAGTACAACTGCAAAAATATGATGATAGAGCTGGTTCTTACCCCATTGAATGTGCAACCAAGATGACTCCCACAGACCTGTCATTTGGTGGCCATGGAGCTTCGGTCTTCTCTTTCCGAACTTCCATAACCTTTGCTTTCAGCCTACGACGTCAATTTGATTAAAACATAATCCAAACACTCTAGTTATTGATACGTACCATTCAAGAAATCGATCGGTACTGTCCAGCAGGTCACCTCTCGTCTCGTATTTTGGATATATCAGAAGTTCAACATCATCATCTGGTAGCTTATCTGCTACACTTTTCTGAAGGTTCTATCTCGAGGGTCAATACCTTTTTTCAAACTACGGATTTCATTATTGGCTTACCTGAGGGAACGTATAAAAGGTCTCTCCATTACCCTTGAACCCATGGATAAAACATAGGAGCAATGTTCGCTTCATTGTAAAGTCGTACGAGTGAATTACTAATAAAATTTCATGAAGAAAAAGATCAGCCACGACAGTATGGGGCTTCAAGTATTAATATGGATATGATCATCTTGCTTCATAGATGGATGTGAGGTCGTTAGTGTGAGAAAGCCACTAGAAATCATGGAAACCGCAAACCACCAATTCAGGGTTTTAAGCTTTCACATTCACATGCATTTCTTCATGGATGATCTCATATATAAATTTTATCAATCCTTACCGCCATGTACGTCATTTCAGCTCGACATACAAGGAATATCGCTGTCCTCATTTTGACGGACATGGGATTTTGATAAATAAACGCGGGATGCAAAAGAAGGTATGGACAACAAAGGAAGGCGATGTTATTGCCAATGCACGTGATTTTACAATCTTGGCAAACATGAAAAAGACGAATGCGAGGTAAGTTGCAAGTCAACGAAATTGTTTAAGAGTTGTCAACATCTCATGTCAGATTTGAAATCAGGATACTGAGATCTCCAATTCGTTATTGGTAACCTTAACATGGATTTATTATGAGATTTCTTTGATCCATCTCAAACATCTCAAATTTTGTGAACATCATTGTAAATTTTTGCTAAAATACAGGAAGAACCAAAAAAGTCCGCTAAACATTAAGGATAAGAGAAATTACAGACCGATATTCCCAATATCCAAGACCGCTATAAAATACATGTACATTTTGAAGTAATTTGTAAAGCAAACCGCTCGTAAAATTCGTCAAATCATTTATTTCTTCTTCTTGCCAGTGATGGAATCAACCACCATTCCAAGTCCAAGGCCGTTCAACAGTCCCTTAAGACCAAGACCTCCGAGAAGGTTGTCAAGCAAGCCTCCAAGACCAAGTCCGCTGAGCTGTAAAAGTTGTTAGCATTTGTTTAGGAAAGGGATAAATGTGTTCACGTGATGACTTACCAGTTTACCAACTAATCCGAGGACACCACTCAAAAGCAAGCCAACAGCGGCGAGAATTTGAGCAAGTGGCTCTGAAAGAAGGTTCCATAGAGGGTTGATTTCTTTCTTGGCGTGTGGCATGCCTTCAATCTTTCTCTTGGCATTCTCGATGGTCTCACTGACAGTGCCGGTGAGCTATAAATGATGATTAGTAAATGTTCATGTAATCAGCGTATCAGACATGGAGAAAACATACCTCTTTGAGACAATCAGCGAGATGATACTCTGCTGGAGTGGCTTCATGAGCTGCTGTCTTAGCCTTGGCTTGAGAAGCAAGTCTTCCACCAGGGTCAAGAGCACGGATGGAGGAATTAGCCTCAGAAAGGATACGACCACCTTCTTCGATCAATGGCTTGACCTTGTTGACAAGGTCTTCTTCATCAAGCTCGTCCTTTGGTGTACGCTCGGCTTTGTCGATGTGTGAAATAATCTGTTTTAGAACTGGCTTGATCTTGCCAAGGGCATCTTCGACGCAGTAGGTCATCTGACCACAGATCTTTTCATCGAGTGCAGCTTCCTCTCTCTTCTTCTTCTCTTCCTCAGTCTCCTCTGGCTCAGGTTCAGGCTCTTCTACCTCTGGTTCTGGTTCTGGCTCTACCTCTGGCTCTGGCTCAGGTTCATCTTCAACGATATCCTCGAGAAGAGTCACGTGTCCGAGTGAGTTACCCTTTTGATCGACAACATCTCCGTCGTCATCAATCTTCTTGCCTGCGCAGAGCTTGAGATCACCAGTTGTCAATTTACCAATGATATCACCATTCTCGTCAACAACATTACCCTCCTTGTTAACTTTGCGACCAGCCATTGGGCTGACATCCTTCTGGACTTCCTCCTCTTTCCATCTCTCAGCTCTACCAAGGACGTTACCGTTCTTGTCAACAATCTCGCCATCATCATCAACAGCACGACCGAAGAGAACGTTGGCATCGCCAGAGACCAATCGACCAACGACTTCTCCAGATGAGGTAACAACTTTACCTTCCTTGTCGACAGTGCAACCGTCGAAGTCTGTGAAAGGACCTTCCTTCAAACCTTCACGGTCACCCTCTGGAACGACCTCGCACTTTCCAATGATATCTCCTCCCTCATTTCTGACAAAACCTTGCTTATCGCACATTTTACCAGCGAGTTGCTTGATATCACCTTCAACAACGCGACCATAGATCTCTCCAGATTTGTTGACAACGTTACCGGCTTTGTTGACACGCTTTCCAGCCAAGGAAGAGTTGTCGACTTCTGGCTCTGCTTCGGCTTCAGGGGCTTCCCATCTTTCAGCCTTACCGAGAACGTTGCCGCTGGCAGACAAAATATCTCCGTCTGCGTCAACCTTCTTGCCCTTGAGTTTCTTGGCATCACCTTCAATGACCTTGCCAATAACTTCACCATTGTGAACAACATCGCCGTTGGACTCAACAGTAGCATCTGGGAAATCCTCAAATGGTGCTGGCTCTTTGAGTTCTTCCTTCTCTGCTTCTGGGATTGGCTCAGCTTGACCAATCTTCTTTCCGCTGTCACCCCAGATAGCACCGTCCTTGTCACATCGGCGACCGATCATGTTCTTCAAAGCACCTTGAATGATGCGACCAACAACACGACCGGAATCATCAGTGACGTTTCCGAGCTTGTTTACCTTCTTATCAAACAGGACAGAGTAATCTGGTCCCTCTGGCTCTGGCTCCGGCTCTTCTTCGGTACGCTCTGCCTTTCCAATGACGTTGCCGTTCTTGTCAAGGATGTCACCATCCTCATCGACAGTCTTGCCAATCATCTTCTTGACATCACCCTCAACAACTTGACCAATGACTTGACCCTCGTAAACGACCTTGCCAGATTTCTCAACAATTGCACCGGGAAAGTCTTCGAATGGTGCTGATCCATTCTCTTCGGCTTCTGGGAGAGGTTCGGCACGGCCAATAACTTTACCGGTATCGTTGTAAATCTTTCCCTCCTTGTCACACTTCTTGCCAGCAAGCTTCTTAGCATCACCTTCAACAAGTTGACCAACTGGGTTTCCATCTCTATCGACAATCTTTCCGGACTTGTTGACCTTGAGACCCTCGAGAATGGAGACAGGTGGAATGTCGGATTCAGCTTCCTCCTGTACGTCTTCAGCAGTATCTTTGGTCTCATCAGTAGCACCTTCGACATTGGCCTTAGCCTCGTCAGTTGCTCCCTCAAGACCTTCCTTTCCATCTTCGACGGCGCCTTCAACACCTTCCTTGGTGCCATCAACGCCCTCCTTGACTTCTTCGCCCTCTGGGACCTGGGATCCGAGATCAGCCTTGGAACCAAGATCAGCTTTGGAGCCTTCGACCTTGGAGCCAAGCTTGCTTCCGAGCTGGCTAGCGCCTTCTGCGACACCAACGTTCATGATTCGCTCTCTGACGCTTTCTGGGATGGGTAGTTGATCAACTGGAAGTAAATCGACCTTTCCAATGATGGTGCCATTCTCTCCAACAAGGTTACCCTCATCATCGACATTCACACCTTGTTTGCCGACCAAAGATTTGAGATCGACATCATCTTGGAGTTTTCCAATTGCCTTTTTGTCGGCATCGAGAATCTCACCAGACTCTTGGATCTCGAATGGACCCTTGAGTTTGGATTGTGGGATGATTGGCTCTTCGACTGGATCGGCATCTGGTTTCGAGACAGCATCTTCGGCTTTGGATTTGGTATCGTTGACTTGTTCTTTGGCACGCTCGGCGGCATCTTTAAGATCTGGCTTCTCGCCTTCGAGACCAGATTTTGCGCTGTCAGCTGGTGACTTGGCACCATCGGCAACCTCTCCAAGAGCATCTTCGGCATCATCGATTGGGTCTGCAGATCCGATGATTTGGCCTTCTTTGTCCAAGACATCTCCTTCCTCATTGACAATGCTGTCCTTGAGTTTGGATGCGTCAATATCGGTTTCGTTGACTTTACCAATGACGTTTCCATCGTCGTCAACGACTTCACCCTTCTCATTAACCTTTCCAGCAGCTTCAGTATCTTCTGCGATTGCACCGGCCTCTTTGCCAGTATCCTCAGCAGTTTCCTTTACGTCGCCAGCTTTGGATTCGAGAGTGTCCTTGACATCTCCAGCCTTGGACTCGGTGGTTTCCTTAGCATCTCCAGCTTTAGACTCGGTGGTCTCCTTAGCGTCTCCAGCCTTGGATTCGGTAGTTTCCTTGGCATCTTTGCCAGTCTCAGAAGCCTTATCCCTGACATCTTCACCTGCCTCGGTGGCCTTTTCTTGGACACCATCGACTTCTTTCTCGTCTGAAGCATGGGAAGCCTGAGAAGCCTTGTCTGTGGCCTCTCCAACATTGCGGGAATCTTCATTTGGATCGCGCTCAGTGAGTTCTTCCTCTTCTTCTACTGGAGCTTCCTCATCATCTTCTTCTCTTCCTTCTTCTTCTCCCTCGGCAACACCATTCTCCTCAGTTCCTTCATCATCTTCCTCGTACTCCTCTTGCTCTCCATTGGTGAGGTGATCCTCATTGTCTGAAATGGCTGATGGAGCCATTCTTTCTGGAGAATCGGGAGGTTCTGAGCGGGTTTGTACTGGCTCTGGTGTTGATGGAGCTTTTGGAACGTTCTTCTTAACACTCTTTGGTGCAGGTGATTTTGCAGGAGTCTTGGTTGGAGTCTTTGGTGTCTTAGATGCGCTCTTGGGAGTTTTCAAAGTTTGCTTTGGGGATTCTTCGGTGTCTGTCATTATCGGTTGTTTGGGTATCTTTGTAAATTGTAGTAATAGTTGTGTTTAAAGTATTGTACTGTTTATTCAAAAGTAGTGGTCATACAGAAAAAAAGATAGGCTTCGTACAGAACCCGTGAGCTCTTCTTGTATTGGAATATCAGACTGCTAATTTCCGGTTTACTTGGAAGCAAAGCAGCTTGGATAGCTTGCCTATGATGTAAGTACGTCACAGCTTGGGAGCTATGATGCTGCACAGTATCAGCTTCCAGGCTCTATACGTCAGCCACTTGGAGCTGATAGACTGAAATGTCTGGGATGGTGAGCCACACCATGTTGAAAATTCCTCAAAGCTGAAGACCGCATCTTTCCTGGCAATGTGCGTCATTGCATTCGCCATGGCAATGTAGTGGAGGTGGTCACTTGCTCATCATTGGTCGGCTTATTTTTGTACCACCCCCGCGACATTGTGCTCGAAAATCCTGATGCATCGCGAATCGGTAGACTACCTTTGATCGACAATAGATTTGCTAAAAGAGTGGTTACAAGCTTTATTTTTGGTATGGCCAAAAGCAACCCTGAAAAGATCATAAATTCGTAACCATGGGTCTCTCCTGCAATCGACATGACATCAAACTAATGATGCATGCAATAGTTAAGAAGTTCAAAGCTCCCCCCCAGTTTTACAACCAAGAAATAGAACTCTTTTCAATCCCGCGAAATCTAGCCCCGAATGGCCATCCAAACGCGTTTCCAGGAACCGAGTGCTCAATCTTTCGACCGCGTTGTCCCAGTCGATAGAGTACGTACAGTACAAGGAAGGCAAGCTGCAGCTCCTTCAAAATTCAGGCGCCACCAACATCAAGCCACAATTTTTCTTTTCTTGGTTTGACAGAGTATCTCCACTTCTCCATTGGATTCGAGCCCCTGGATCCACTGATTGTTTCTGACACGAAACGTTATCGCTCCGTCTTTCATTAGCCACATTGCAAGGAATATTTCCTGTTATCAAAAATGTGCGTCGTGATGATAACCATACAGACGCGTGCGATATATTAACATCGCGGAGATTACATCACTAGACCAAGTTTAGTTGGGCCGTGCCGCGCAAAGCACTCGCCACATGCAAATTGGTGGGGACATCTCGGTTAGGACTTCCCCTTCATTTCGGGTCGAAGCGACAATGTTCTTGTTTTTATAGACTCGGTAACAGGATTTATGCCTGGAAATTATTTTTTGTCATTTTGGTTGGTTACATCATTTTAATTCCTTTTGAATGGGTAAATATTCGAGTGCAATTTGAAGATTCAGGATTTGGATGGTGGGTCGTGGGGTGATTTATTGGGTGAGCGGGTTTTGCATATGCCCTCCTCTTCTATGATTGCCATGTTTCTTAATCCAATTTGATTCTCGGATTGTATTAGATACACGCGTATTTCGTGCTCAATGTGCCCGTGTTCATGGTCTCGTGATTTCCCGGCATAGTTCCCCTTGCGAGAATGACCAAGATCTTACAAGAGTCTAGATGCAGCTATTCAAGACCAGATTGGAAAAGGGGGTTTTCAAATATAGACACATCAACAATAACTCGTGTTGGATGGAGAAGAACGTACATTTTTTCCGTCATCTTGTCCATTGGATGAAAATTAGATCGAGTCCAGTTTCCAGCAAGATCACAATTATAAATGAATTCAGAAGATTTGACCAAGTCGCAAATATTACCATTTTTTGATTAAAGTGAACAGTAGAGCTACATATATATGAATGTTAAACGCTGAAATAACACGCTGGCTTTTGAATCGTAAATTCCGTGTGCTGAAACCATTAATGAAACATAAACTTCAAAAGATTATACCAAACCAAACCATCCCAGTACCCATCCATCCATACTCATTACCATCCTGCCTGACGGATCCGTCCATTCCACGAAATATTACCCTACCATAACCATAGCGCCGACCCTAATGCCCAGGTCTCATCATAAACGCAGTAGGAATTCTGATTTGCAGACTGATCCCCTCATTTGTACTCTTGACATCCAAGAAAATTTCACTTGGACTACTTGCAGCAGCAGCATCCCCATTTTGCCCTGATGTGCCGGCCAGAGATCCTACATCTCCAGATGTTGGTCCATCGAGTTTTGGTTTCTCAATGTTGCCGATAGATTGGACTTGTTGTGATGCTTTGGCCTCCAATTCCTTAGATTTGAAAGAACCAATTGCCTTCCCTGAAAAGTTGGAAGTAGCTTGACCAATAACATTTCCTTGGTCATCAAAGAGGTAGCCGTCTTTGATAACAGAGATACTCTTACCGACAATGTCATTGATGTTTGGAATGTTAACTTGAACGTCCTTGGCACTTTCTGTCGCTCCCTCAGCTTGGTCCTTGACTCCATTCACAGCATCGGTAGCCTTATCAGTGCCAGGGATTCCTCCCAATGCGCCCTTAGCTTTTTCGCTACTTTCACCCAAAGGTTTCTGGGCATCATCTGTGGACGGTAAACCACCCTTGACATCTTCAGTTGAGCCCTTAACGCCATCGAGCTTCTCTCCAGCAGTGTCTTTGGCATCGCCAAGTTTCTTTTGCGCATCATCTTTGGCATTTCCAACTTTGTCTTCGGCATCGCCGGCGACTCCATTGACTTTTGACTTGGTATCATTGACTTTACCCTGGGCACCATCGGTGGCATCCGAGGATTTTTCCTTTAAGTCACTCGCAACTCCATTGACCTTGTCACTAGCATCTTTGCCGAGCTTGGATGCTTCATCGGTTTTTTCTTGTGTAGCATTTTTGACCTCACTGGTAGCCTTTTCAGCATTGTCCTTTACCTTCGATCCAGCATCTTGAGCCTTGGAAGTTGCACCATCAACAGCACTGGTGGCTTGATCAGCGTCCGGAACTTTTTCAGTAGTCTCCTTGACTTTATCAACTCCTTCCTTGGATGCTTTAGATGCTTTGTCTCCAGTATCTTTGGCTTTGTCGGTTACGCCGGATGCAGTATCCTTGACTTGGTCAGCGCCAGGTGCACTATCGACAGTGTCTTGAGCTTTCTTGGAGCTGTCATCCGCAACACCATTGACTTGGCCTTGGGCTTTTTGGGCAGCCTTGGAAGCCTTGCTTAGGAATTTCTTTGGTCGTTTAGCAGCTTCCTTTGCAGGCTCAGGGACCGAGTCTTTTGCGTCTTCGACAGACTTTGTAACTTGCTTAGTAGGCTCAGACTTAGTTACTGACTTGAGAGGCTCGATGCTTTCCTTGAAGTCGTCTGGGATAGGAGGTGCTGAGGTAATAACATCTGGTTGGACATCGGGAATAGCTTCAGCCAATTCATTTTCCTCCTCCTCTTCTTCTTCATTTTCCTCATCTTGATCATCTCCTTCCTCTTCATCCTCTTCTTCCTCGCTGACATCTTGTTCCTCGTCATCTTGAACATCGGAATCGTGATCTACTTCGCCCTCATTTTCGGCTTCATCTTCATTATCTTCCCCGTCTTCCTCACCATCTGCCATTTCGATGCCTTCATCATGTTCCTCCTTCTTATTTGCCTTGATTGGTTCTTCTTGTTCAGCCTCACCCTCGGATTCTTCGTTTTGACCTTGGGTTTCCGGCTTGGGTTGAGACTTTTTGGTCTTTGAAAATTTCTTTGGTCGAGGTGCTTCCTCCTTTTGTTCTACCTTCTCTGGCTCTTCCTGTTCACCTTCAACCTCGGCTTCAGATTCCTGATCTTGCTCTTCAGGCTCTGGCTTTGGTTCAGGTTTCTTGGTTTTTGAAAATTTCTTTGGCCGAGGGGCCTCCTTCTTTGGCTCAGGCTCAACGTGCTCTTCATCTTGTTCAGGCTCGTTGTCTGCTTCCTCGTCATGATCTGGCTCGTCTTGCTCAGGTTGAGGCTCAGGCTCAGATTTCTTAGACTTTGAAAATTTCTTCGACTTAGATTTTGGCTTCTCAGGCTGGGGCTCTTCCTTCTCAGATTCGTCGTTATCGTCTTGTTCGCCGTCTTTCTCTTGTTCCTCTGGCTCAGGAACTGGCTCAGGGTTTTCGACTGCCTTTTTGAATTTCTTGATCTTTGGCTTGCTTTGGGACTTTGGCGCTGGCGAAGGAGATGTCACTTCAGGGTGTGGTATGTTTTTGTCAGCTGGTGGTGTTGCTGGTAATTTAGGTGCGAATTTCTTGGCCTACGTTGTTTCAATGTTAGCCTTCTGACTTGAATTGAATATTCTTTCAGTCTTTCTTTTTTCCTCTTGCTTTCCTTCTCATCCCTTGGATAAGGTCCTCCTTTGGGTGGAACCAGAGGTGAAGGCCAGGAATTTTGTCCGGAAACAAAGAGGAGTATAACGGTCGGCGAAAGAAGGCATATAAGCCAGAGCAGGAAACTTACTTTTGGTGGTGGAGCCCTGCTTTGCGGATTTCGTTACATCGCTGGTATCTTTTGGGACAGTTGGTGTGTTTGGAACCGATGGCTTTTCACTCGGTACTGAAGAGGTATCTGCTTTAGGAGTCGAAGGCTTCTTCTTGATAGGAGTTTTGTTAGTCTTCTTCAAGACTTTCTTAGGAGCTTCTTGTGTGTCTGCCATTCTGTGATTTTGCGGTTGTGGATGATGTGAATTGTATGGAATCTGGATTGTAGCGAGATGTGCGTTGCTTGACTAAAAGCGTCCACTGATAACGAACAATAAAGTGAGGAGACAGTTTGACGGATACCTTTCACAGGTATATAGAGGCTTCAGTAGTGTAACAGTTAATGGCACTAAAGTCGAATGCTGTGTTCATCTTAGTAATTAGATGCGCAAAGAATGATCTCACTGTCTCCAAGGTGTCCCGAAAACCAAGGCTGGGACCAACTATGACCCAAGTTTGATTGGAATACATCATTGCGTCAACTTTACAAGAGCTTACAGGCTTCCCCAGAGTAGAACAAGGAAGTTTGGCCCCAGAGTGGATAGCTATAGCAACTTGCATCATATACATGCAACCTTGTAGGTTAAGGAAGCTAATTGGACCTGATCCTTCAGCTTACACGCCACAATAGCAAATGGGAGCGATTCTACGGGGATTGTTCGAAGCCCTGTTGTGATTTCCTAGAAATCATCGATCCCTTTCGATTTGTCGTTGGTATAAAGTGTCCGATGGACGAGACAAATTGCGCACCAAGCGAAGATACCTACCTAGGTAGGAATCATGAAGTGTTTCATTGTCTCGGAGCAAATTCGACAAAGCAATGATACATTTCTATGCATATTTGGCACTTTGATGATTTTGATGTTCCATCGAGATTTGACACATGATGTAGGCTTACGATGTTCTTTATGTGGAACTAGCAAGGATAGTAGTCTGCGGCAATACTTGCACTCACCAGCCACATTTCATAAATAGCTACCTACACGTGAAAAGAGGAAGCTAGAAAAACCAACTTGTCGTCCCAGTCTTAGTGCAACGCCAATCGTCTAATTGTTTCACATGGACGGACAATAAAATCGGAGATATGTGCTATGAAGTTTTTCGAATGCTATTTAACAATCCGATACCATGCTGAAAGTGACAAGTTTTTGGAATACAAGTCGTTCGGAGAGATTTCCTTTGCACAAGGACTCTTGCATTTGAGTAACATGATACAAAGCGCTAAAGGTCTCATGTTCACGTCTGAGCGTTGTGCAGTGCTACAACCTACAAACAGAGAGAATAAGTTGGCAATACGAAGAAGCAATTAGCCATGATTCCCAAAATGAAAGTAGAAAAAGTTGGAAATTCGACAGGGTCCAGCGGTATCAATTTTCCAATCCGGATATCTGCCAACTAATTTGCTTCATTACCTGAGTTGCTTATGTTGGGAGGGAACACAATCTGCAAGCCACAAAATCACGAGATACTAAGAATCTAACGCCGAGGGCGGGGTGAAAAGAAGAAAAGTCTAGCGATTCCTTCATTGCGTGAAATCGCCATGGTGTATAGAAGCTTCTAATCACACCCCGTATTTGAAATGAGTGGAAAAGTGACGATTCGTGATAGTTTCCGACTAGAGATGGACGGTAAAACAATTTCGTAAATTTGATACTAAAAAAGTTGAGATTGCTTTCAAATTTACTGCCTAGATTCTTTGAGATATGACTCAAGTAGTTTTGACAGCAGAGCTAATTTAGAGGGACTCGTGGAAACGACGTGTGTCGTTAGGCTAGTACACGCTATTGTGATTGCGACACAGGCTAGAAGATCACTGAAGGTTCGGATGGATTGGGCTATGTATCTGATAACAATTTTTCAATTCCTGTCGGATAATGTTCTCGGTATTTCTGCAACATAATCTCTGCACTTTAACAATAAACGTAACAATCTAAAAGTATAATGACCGTGGAAATTCTTGGTTTTTCGATATTGAAAATAAAATCACGAAAATCAATATATCGACCAATACGAGCATCTCATGAAATTTCCATATCAAGATTCTTGATCATTAAATCTAAAAGTACAATGCCATTCATTATCATCCAAATATCCCGAACCCCACCACACCCAAAGCACCGCAGCCCATATCATGAATAGATACAGTAACACCAAAGAAATATGTGAAAAACTCTCCATATAACGCACGGTAAATCCAATTGCCTCTAGCAAACATGCTCTCCACTCTATCCAGAACTAAGCAACACGATAGATGTTAGAATGGATAATTTTTGCGTTTAAGACCTGTTGAAAATAATCAGCTCGACCGAGCTCGTGAATTGTATTGAGAGGTACTTGTTCTCAACATTTACACTGAGTAGGATTGGAGATTACGATATATAAGGGGAAGTGGGCGAAGGGGAATGGGAATTGGGATAGAACGTACAATAATGCCAATGTCAAATCACCATGAATCTTGGCTTTCAACTCGATCTCAATTTCAAGATTGACATCTAATCTCAACTTCAAGGGTTGCTTTCCTTGCTCTTTCGCAGCACCACCACCTTGCTGTTGCTGTTGCATTTGCATCATTTGCATTTGCTGTTCGTGTTGTTGTTGCATCATTTGCATCTGTTGTTTATAATCGTTTCCGCCATCTTGTTCGAGGAATTGAGGACGATCTCTCCTCTTACGACGGGGTTTGCGTGCAGGAGCTTCCTCTTCTTCCTCCTCTTCTTCTGGCTCAGGCTCCTTGACCTTACGACGGCGATGCTTCTTCTTCTTCTTTTCCGGTTCAGGTTCAGGTTCGGGCTCGTTGTGAACGGCAGTATCCTCACTCTCTTCTACTTCCTTTTCAGGCTCTTCGTCTTGAGCTTCTTCGCCGCCTTCATTCTCGTCAGCAGTGGCTTCGGCACCAGTTTCTGCCCCTCCATCACTACCAGCTTGTTCTCCTTCATTGTCGTCTTCTACTGATGCCTGTGCCTTCTGCTCCGTACCTTCTTGTTCTTCCTCATCTTGTTCCTCTTCTCCATCCTCGTTTTGTTCCTCATCTTGAGCTTCCTCTTCTTGCTCTACTTGCTCGTTTTCTTCGTTGTCTCTGTCAGGGGTGGCATCAGGAGTTGGCGCTCCCTTTTTACCACCAATCGGTGTACTCTCCTTTGGCGGCATATTGGCTTGTGGATTTGTGATATGTACTTAGGTGGTGCAGTGAAGGATTTAGAAGATGAGGAAACCCCGTGTACGTGAGGAAAAGGGTATATAGCTAAGAGTCAAAAATATAGACTCAAGAAATTCTTTCAAAATTAGATACGGGGAGGAATCTCACTTAGCACCGTTGTAGTTTTGTCTTATATGAAAACCAAAAAATGTAAACTTGGAAATTCATGCCAAATTCTATGGAGCAAGCTTTCAAACAACTCAACTATGACATAACCGCTGCCCTCATTTTTATCCTTGTAACAGGTGTAAGATACAGGGGGTTATTGTGTTTTTGGACATAATGGAGGTCAAGAATCTTGGATTAGATGATTTATCGCAAGGATTTTGGTGATAATTGTGGGTTTTACAAACCAACGTATGCGTGTGGTCATGAAAAGCTACAGGGCTGCTACTTGTACCAAAAAGGTCGAGTCCATCCGTCCACCAATTCGAATCTCCGAGTCTAGAGGCGCATATTTCTGAAAAATCAAGGCTAATAGTATTCGAACAAGAACAATAGTAAATAATTCAATGTTTCCTGTTGTCTCCTAAAACTTTTCAGGGTATTTTGGGTGTGAAAACTTACACACTCTCAGTAGCTGTACAGCCTATACAAGAAGTAAGCTAGCGGCCACTATTACCTTGTTCTTCAAAATGTCAAAAAAGCTACCTCCACGAGGCTAGCACAAGTAATGTTTTCGGGTTTCATGATTACATCCACATGATATCATTTTCAATTGAAGTGGTGAGGGGCTAATTCAGCATTAGACATGGGGTTTGAAGAGATAAGTTGTGGCTGGTGAGCAACTAAATCGACATCTTCCGTCCCCACAGCACCTTTCTAACACTGAATTCAATTAATTATACACTGTTCCAGTATCCACTTCCACTTCCACAAGACCTACCACACATACAATACCACGATAATACAATTTTACGATAACGTTCAACCTTGAGAACAACAAGTCAGATGAAAATCACGAGATGGCATTATTTTTGATGTTAGTAAATGCCATACCGACGGTGATCGGTACCGCTGAAGCATTAGATGTTCAGAAGAAGGAGGATTTGGCTCAGAAGCACAAAGCAAAGTTTTTCATGACGGCGAATTTTGCTCTGGATGGCAAGGCTGCTCATGAAAAAGAAGCACAGGTCGTTCTACGCGATAATAGGGTATGTTACCACGAGTTTCTATGTGCTAACATCAATATCATGGTGAATATTGAAGAAAGATACTGATTTCGAACGATCTGTAGATGTATCTAAATCACCCCGATGCGCCGAAAGAAGGACATCGATTTTGTGGTTACTATTTCATGTATCCAGGCACCGAAGAACATGGCTTGGTATCGACGATTCAAGATAATCCTCCGATGCTAAATTGGATATTTGTCGACTCAAATACTTTGGAGGTGCGATATGGTGGGCGAGCAGATACGGTGGGCAATTTAGCACACCCATGGGAATGGTCAGAGGATGAAGTAAATTTGACGCTGGAAGAAGATGAAGGATTTGTTGCAGTAGAAGTTGAGCCTGGATTATGGCAAATATATTTTGATAGAAATGGGGATTTCTCTGGTCTTCCCACAGGAAAGAAAATCCAGGAAGTTTGTTTGCTCCGGCGGATGATGTGTGGATGGAATAGTCAGCTAGTACCAGCCGACAGGAAAAAGGAGGGTGGTTAATAATTTCACCACTAGAAAATCACATAACACAAAATGAAAATCTCATGATACTCATCCGAAGTCTTCCCATTCACACTGCACTGTCAAGCCTAGACCAAAATACTCATGTTACAAACACGCACGAGACTCGACAAATTCGAACTCTGAAGGATTAATCCTGTACAACAATTCAAAAATAATCAATTTACATGCAATATGACGAAATCCTGCCTCTTCCAATCGAACATGGGGAAAAATCGCGCGAGGTAATGCCTGTAAATGCTTGTATCTGACCCACTAGGATCAATATATTCTTCCCAGCCACAGAACAAATGTTTCGCAATTTGCCAACTTTGACACTGCATGGTTGGTGAAAACTTGCCAAAGAAGGACCTGGAGAAATTAGCTACAAGCTATTACCCCGAAAAACAAGAAAACGGCTTTGGCCGGCATGGGGGTCTGCATCAAATGGGATGATGACGTGGAATCAGCGCAAGCAGGTTCGATTCTCGAGAAATCCACTCAGTCTTTCTTTTAAAGAACACAGGTTCGAGTCAATCATATCCTCATTCTCCTCATTCAAACAAACATCTTTCCATTTTCTTCATATCCTTTTAGGATAATCCAACCCCCGTTTTTTTATTTTCAGCATCCTTTCATACGGAGGTCTCTCTCGCAGAGCTCTACTTCGACAATGGCTAGTCAAGCTAAGCCAAAGGCTGCTGCCACCAAGACTGCCACAAAAGGAAAGAAGGCTCCCCCCAAAAAGAGACAACCAGAGCCTGAATCGGAATCGGAAACCGATTCCGATGATTATACCTCTGACGAAGAATCAGAAGAAGAAGCACCACCCCCACGTCGACCGGCAAAGCAAAAGCAAAAGCAACAAGGTGGTGGAGGCGGAGGCGGACCACTCGGTGGTGTCAGTGATATGGTTCCTTTGAATCAAGTTGGTGACACCGTCGGAGGGGCTGCCGGCCAAGTTGGAAATACACTTGGTAACGTTGCTGGCGGTGTCTTGGGTGGTGGTGGTGAAAAGAAGGGAGACGACAAGGAAGATACACTTAGATTACGGCTGGATTTGAATCTCGAGGTAGAGATTACGCTGAAAGCGAAGATCCATGGTGATCTTGAATTGGCACTATTGTAAGTTCACACCACCTTTATTATTTCCTCAACCCCTCCTGTTCTGACGTTAGTACAAGGGATACTGGTGGATAAACATCTCTTACATGAGTATTTGTTGCAGAAACGGTTAATAATGTCGTCCGTCCCCATTGCAGCTTGATGTAGTCGCAGCTTACTGTATGAACCGACCTTTCGTTATCTTCGAACATTTGATCTTTTCATCCTCTGAAAAGTCTTCCGTGAGGACGCAACTTGGTTAGAATCTGCTGCTAACAAGTTCTTCGTAGGAACTAATTGGCTTTTCGATATTTTCGTTGCTGGGAATAGGATCTTTGGATTCTTCGGAGTGGGACATGGGAGGTTAGGACCGGATTCTGATGTTTCGAAGGAGTTTTTGAGTGCATGGAGAATGGGAGATTGGGATCGGGTTTTGACATGTTCCACACGTATTATATACCCATTATCTAATGTGGGAAATTTAATGCCTGAATGACTTTTCCAAACTTGCTTGGATTTATATGAAGTGACCATGTGTGATGATGTAGTTTTTAGGATTCTATGACTGTGTGACGTCGTTGGTGCTATTCCTTCGCGACTTCAGGGGCAGATCCGGAGTGAATCGACCGGAGGATTGATTACAAGAGAGATAAGATGCTCGGTGAATTCAATTGGAGCGATCCTTGCTGTAAGTAACTATTGAGAAGTAGATAAAAGATCGAAATTGCGAATTCTAGCATCGCCGTCGTCAAATTGCCAGATTTTTGAGCAAACGTATGATGCATGATTGTTTACACAATGGGTAAGATCAAATTTGTAATTGTATCTGGAGACAGAATTCTCATTTTTCCTGGGCAAAGAAGTTTGCTTCCAAATGAGACCACCTATAAAGTAGACTGACTGGAAATACAAAATCCTACCAAGATACCTAGTCGCACATCCAATTGGGACTCCGTACTGGAGGCTATCTCGTCCAACGTCATGGAAATTCCACGCCATGATTCTAGTATACTCGCTAAATTCCACAAACGAGGCCACACATCTTTCAATGCTATATTCAACTTGCAAAAAAGGAGTCAAAATTAGATGTCATGTAGGTTTTCTACGGACAAAAGAGTGGAAAGTAGTGGAGTGATGATGCACGTAATTCGGGGTAATATACCATAACTTCAACTCCACATCTCATTCAGCCATATAAATATCGGCAACTATAGAAGTAATTGCTTGCTGTATCTAGTAGCCGTGGCAAAGAGTCCACAAATGAAATAAAGTTCAACATTGCCAAATGTTTCAATGCCTCACTGAGATGTTGGAATTCGACCCTCCACCCAAAAAAGTCTAGATTATTGACCATTCTACCTACAGATAATTGTAGCCACTTATCTCACGCTTTTGCAATATGAAGTAGTCCTGATCGGAGTCTCTGATGCGTTATGAACAGGAATTTACTGGGTTTTTCCTTGAGTTGTTCGGCTTTGAACACCTAGTCAGAGAGGGCCATATGTAGATCCTCTAGCGAGAAAGATATTCATGAAGACCAAATGTAATAGATTACTTTAATTTGGAAGATCGTTCGTTCACATTCTGTTTGAGCATATCGCTTCCTACAGTAATCTCTCTCCCTTGTGTGTCTCGCGGCTTTAGCAAATTTTACCTTGAATATAATTACTCGAAGGGTGTATGATAGGAGACCTATCTCTAGCTTAGCTCAGCTAATGCTACGTGATAAGGGTACTTTTGTTTGTGTTCTCGCTCCGATCCCTTGTGCAAGCGATTTGCATCATTTCTGGGGAAGGGAACAGTTCTTTTCTTTAAGTCCCTCCACGGAGGACCGATGCTCATTGCAAGGTTGTGGCTCAAAATTTGCTGTTTCTATCAGTGAAAATTCTCCTCTCTCTTGTAGTACTGTACCAGTAGAAGGTCAAGATGCCATTAAACAATATGCACCGAGATCTTCATGCTCGAGATTCTACAAGTACCTTTCGGGGAGCATATTCCGGGATTACTATTGGCCAACGAGTTTGCTAATCGGCCCCTAATCCTTCACTTCTGCGGTTCAATGACAGCAACACAATGTCTCAGCGAAGTATTGGGTGAGAACGCCATGATTTTCAAGAAGATATGAATTATAGTTATAAAGAAAGTGTCGTGGATAAATCAATATCTTTAAAAGCCATCAAACAGTAGAGTCAAATTCAATCATGCTTCCCCAAAAACGAAAATGAACAACGAAACCAAATCATCCCGAGACAATCCCTCAGCCATATTTCAAACTCCTAGACTTAAGCAAAAGACTCCGTAGCCGTAAGAATTTCGGCGCATCACTCCATAGATATTCCACAGCCTCTAAAACATCACAAACAGCCGGTAACCAGAGCATTACGCTTCCGATCGATGTTTCCATCACCGAATAAGGTATCTGTCCCGATGCATCTTTTTTTGTTGATTACGCCAAGTATCTCTTGGCAATTGCCATCGCTGCACGCAATAGTATGTTGGGGTGGCTCTGTGTCAGTATAAAGACTAAGAGCTCTTAGATCGACTGCGATGTAATTGCATGTTGCGGTGCCGAGCAATTTGTATTATTTTTCGTCGTTTCTAGGTAGACGTATTAGGAGAGATTGGAAAAGAGAAGTTGTCTTTTTTTACTTCAACTGGAGAGACTTACGCGCAGGCACTGTCAGTGGCTAAGCAAATGAAACTCAACAATTATCTCATGTACCAATTAAAAATTCTTCAGTCGATCTTTTTCAAACTTTACTTGAGCTCGTGATATATCATCCAGCACATGTGATCCTTCATTTACCGTGCCTCGCTATCTCACAAAATCCTGATGATAGATCCGAAGATGCTATCGACCATTGAACATGTCAAGTTTGTTGACTTTAGAGACACATGACAACACGCGAGAGTAAAAGCTGATTTAACATGTAATTGATGTTGTTAGGATATGGCTCGGTCTGGGATGGAAGGAGTCAAAGGAAGTCGAATTAGTGCTGCTTTACTTCGTTGATTCAACAAACAAACTGAAGAGATCTCCAGCTCCCCCCGAGACAAATTCGTAACGAGAAGTAGGCAGTGGTAATGTGACTCAAGTCGATGGCAGCTTGAGCCATCAAATTTTATATAAAGATCTCTCGTTACCCCAAATTGTTTCCGTCAATCGCTACCACACAGCAAGAAGTCCCTTGAAATCAAGCTGTCACCAACTCTTTACTCAAGCTATATATCTGTATAATCAATTGACTCACCGCTACTCTTTCAAACACGATCTTGTATTCATTAAAGTCATAAGTCATCTAGATTGCCAATTCACCTTGTGCAATTTAGACAAGAATAAGCTTCACACGTGTCACTTGAAGTTAACTCTCATGATGACTGATGCGAAAGAGAACTGATCCAATGATTCAGGCGTAGAAGATCTAAGACTATTTTTGTCTAGGAAATGTATAGCTTTTGAGTCTATCACTTAATTTAGAGAGATATAGATGCTTAGTTTGCCCAAAGTTTGGCGGATATCTAAAACGGGATCTACTGTCTTCTGGATGTACTATTCAATAAAGGTTTAGGTACCGTTGATTCATATTGAGCTCGATATAACATGAGCGTTGATCGCATTGTAATAAGTTTTCATTTCCACAGTAGCTATTCTCAAATTGTTGTAGATCTATGCGGGTAGGGAAGAGAGATCGAACAACGCAAGCCCAGGGGTGACCGAAGATTTGGCACGCATCTTGCACGAATGATACACTTCAGCGAAATTTTGATCATGCACTCGCCCAAACGCTTCCGCTGGAAACAACCACATGCCAATCGCCGTCATATCATCCCGGTCTACCATCACATTTCTCTCTCGAAACCATGATTCGTCAAATGCGCTCTCGCTGAGTGGCCGCATCAAGTCGACCCAGTAATTGATGGCTCTCTCCCACTCCTCCTTTTCCATCTGTCGATTGGATTCGACTAATTGGAGTACTCTGAGCTCTACCCCTGTAGGTTGGGTCATATGTCCCGTTGTTCCCGCCGGAGCTAACTCGGAAAACACGCAAGCAAAGACACGAAAAGGTGTGACATGTCTCACACCTAGGGCTTCCTCGATTGCCTTCCAACTATGGAGGTATCGTCGCAGATCCTTAAAAAATGGCATGTTACCAATGTCCGGTTCTATAGGTCTGGGATCATTCTCGATCCACTCGAAGTTGAGATATGATATGCCCAATCTACTCAAGGGAGGCAGCATCGGTAAAGTCTCCATCCACTGGGGCATTCCCACTGGACGATCGAATATTCCTGGACCGTAAACCCGCGTTCGAGTGTACATTTTTTGAACACACCACAACGTTCGAAGTTTTGTGCCGAGGATGTCAGTGAGAGATGCTTGGGCTATGGAATGGCTTAAGGCAATCTTTCCTGCACCTCCAGCGCTCGTACTATCAATGGGCCTATTCGACCCGCAGCTTCCAACCTCTCCCGTAAAGGGCTGTTTGTCTGGAAACAGAGTATCTCCAAGTATAGCTAAGTGCTTGAGGCCTTGGTCTCTTGGATCGTATGCTTTGACATCATGGAGGATAGCAGCAAGCATGTTGATATCGCGGATGTCATGACCAGGGTGGAAAAACAGAACATCGTGATCAGGGTTAACTCGGATGTGGCGGTTGTTTGCGAGTGGTAGACTAAGACAGAAGTAGTCTAGCGCCACCCATCTTGATTCTTTGGAGGTCGAGAAGATTGCGTTGCTCATCTGATTCGCGGCGGACTAATTGATTGCGAGTTCATAGTAGCTACCGCTTATGATATTGCCCATAGAATTGCGAGTAGTGTACATTTGAGACTGAATGTGCTGGATTTCAGTCTGATCAAGAGTTGTGAGATGGTTGTGAATTGAGATGAAGCGGGGTCGTGGTTGAAGTGCGAGTAGCCAAATACGTAGACGGATTTCTTTGGGAAGAATGGAAAAATGATGAAAAGACGTGATTTCAACGGAAGGTTCATTCTGTTTCGCTGATACGAAGTGTAGATCGTTGAATAACGTAGTCATGTTTGCCCTACCAAGTGGTTGGCTTATTTTTTCAAACGTTTGTGGATGGTAAAGGTAATTGTAGGGTAAAGTCCTGCTATTTGCGCCGCAAGATACAGGAGCAAAACTATTTAACGTATATCATTGAGAAAGTCGGGATCAAGATATCTGTCTCCTCTTCTAAGCTGTGCTGAGGTAGCTTCATTGAATGTCCAACAGTTGTTTTTGTTTCAGGATCCGTCAGCCAATCAAGACTGTTGACTCTCACAGGCACATAATTTAATCATGGAGTGATAAGCCCACAGTCTCTGTCCCCTCAGAGAGGAGTAGTAGACTGAAAGCACCGGGGCAAAAAGATCTCGAGGGTAGAAGAATCATTTTGAGTCAAATTATCACATGATCTATGATACGGATCAGATCATGTGATTATCTAAGGATTTATCCGGATTTGACCAGGGTTTCTGTCTCAGATAGTAGGTTAACCAATGGAAAAGATCTTGATTTCCTACGGTAGTCCTGTATATGTCAACATCACTAAACGCAATTTCTCCGTTTCTTGATAGGAAGTGTGAATTCTTTCGACTTATTTGTTCAGGAAACGGCGATTGCCTGGAGCAAGATTACCAACATTCATATCACTTACCTACATGAGCATAAACTCCATGAAGAGCTAGGCTATTCAGCTGTTATGGGTTTACAGATAATGCCAGAGGAAAAATCAATCCTCGAAATGACAACTCACATTTCACGGGTAGCCACTGATTTATCCGCATAATCATCGATTCCCATGGTAAAAAGCTAGGGACATGAACAAACGCATTTAGCCCACTGCATCATCCAAGCCCAATCAAACTTGCAAACAGAACAAAGCGCGCTTTCCTTTTCCCAAACTATGTTCTCGGACCATAGCTGATCATGCTTCCACATCTCCATCGAAGTCCGATCCGGAATCAACAGCAGTCCCCCCACTCGCAACAGTTTCCTGAGTTAACTCGGTTTCTTGAGTTTCCCCATTTTCACCTGATTCCTCATTCTTGATGTCATATTCCTCATCACTCGTACCTTCCTGAAAGAGGGATATCAATAAGCATAGTAAGAAATAGCCAGATGAAGTGTACTCACATCCTTCATCGGAGACCTGGCTTTTGCTTTTCTACCTGGGAGACTTCGTGCTGGTGTCTCTGGGGCAATCTTGTTCTCTTTCTCATCGTAGTTATCGAATTCTAGTTCTTCGTCGTCGTCGTCACTTTCAACTTTCGAGCGCTTTTGCTTTTTCAAGGGGCTGCCTTTGGGAGCTTTGCTTTTCGTCGGAGATTGTCTTTTTCTTGGTGTTGCTAGTGGCGAGGAATTCCCATTGCCGTTTTATTCTTGGTTGAAGTCGGGCAACGCCTTTTTGAATCTCTGCCATCGCATTTGTGCAGCTGACTTGGTGGGAACGCTGAGATCCTTCGCAACTCTGTCCCAATCGATATGGCCAATATTGGCTTGCCTAAGAATGGAAACTAACAACTTCTTTTCTGCGTCGCTAGACATGACTGAATCTGAAGGTACAATGGTGTTGTGAGAATTTATATCAATGTATGTGTGGTGTGAAGGGACTGATGGACAACAAATAAGAACGGATCACTGATAATTAAGTATTTATCACCCCGCAAACTTCACATGGTCTCAAAGAAGTAAATTCTTGAGCTGAATCATTCTCCTACTTCAAATTCTCAAGGTGGATATCGTCATCAGTTGGAAACAATAAACACCCGCTTGGACACTGGTCTCCCCATTAACCTCCTCAATATTGCTTAACAATCTGAGCTATCATTTTTCTCAGCATAAAAAGTCCTAATCAGAGACATCCTCCTCCTCCTCCTCATCCTCATCCTTGACGACCTTTCTTTTCTTTGATGCAGCCTTCTTCCCTCCGTTTGTACTTTCTGCCGCATTCCCTGTCTTTTTGCCGTTTCCCGCCTTCGGTGTAACATTCATGCAGTTCTCCATTTCACCACTAACCTCGTTCTTTGCCGATTTTCCCGCAACAAGACCATGTTTTTGCTTGTATCGTATCCAACGCTTGCCTGCAGCTTTTCCTGGATGCATAGCTTTGATTCCAAGGTCCTTTGCTAGTTGCTCGTAATCTAAAATTATCTCGGCAAGCTTGATTTGTTTGAATACGGCTGCGATAAGTCTTTGGTCTTCGGCGGATTCGGTAGACATTGTGATGGGTCTTGGATTCTTTTTTTGGGCACGGGACTGCTGATCAAATACATTAGTCTTGTAATGAAAAGAGGAAGTTACCAACCAGGCGTTACTGACCGAATGTGACTTTGCGCTGGGATTTTGCAACTGCGGTGGTTGTTTGGGAGATGTGATATAAAGGTAGACATGCATTTATATAGATACACAAGGCAATGTCTAGATTTTGTTACAAGGGTGCTGAGATAAGGGAATAATTTCATTGCTTATTGTGTTTCTCCTCGTGCATTTGCATCAGAAGCCAAAGAAATACGTGTGGCTGCAGAATCTCAAGCCTCTTGTACTGAAAACAACTCATCCAGCATGTTCCCACCATCCCCAGTCTCCTGCCATTGTATACCAATCTCGAACTGGCCATTTTCCTGCTTAACCGCACTCAGCCCTTCCAATGGTTCCTTGTCTTTGTTTGTCTTCCTGCCTTTGCCTAATCCCGGTTTCGAAGTAGACGCATTCAAAGAATTGCCAATCGACTTGTCGATTTTCTTGCGCTGAGCAGGTGGCTCATTTGGTCCCTCCGTCACGGCTGCTCGCTTCCGTCCTCCATTCTTGCCCCTCTTTTTGTTGTCGAATACCGCGGCTGCCTGTCCAATATCCACATCATCAGCAGATGTTTTGTCTCCAGCTGAATCGCCAAGTGCCTCGTTGTCCGTTCAACTTTCATATCATCTCCGGATTTATTGTTCTCGCTGCCCTTGAGAAGTTTTGCCTTGAATCGATGCCAGCGCACAGCAGCAGTTCCGGGCTTGATTCCAAGAAGTGCGCCTAGTTTATTGTTGTCGACAGATGGAAGAGGATTCCAAAGACTGAGAACGGCAATGAGAAGTTTTTCGTCGTCACTCTTCTCAGAGGCGTTAGCTTTTAGAGGCATGGTTGTACACTTTTCGTAGATTTTGTGAAGTGATGGTGATTATTTGTTGGCCCTGCGTTATGATAATGGTGAAGATCGTTTGGAGATGTAAATGTATGTAAAGCTGTGAATATTATATCAACAGAGTGCAAGCGCTTTCACAGTCTCAATAAGTAATCGTCGAATGTAAATCTGAGCTCCAGTTGATTCTTTATGCATACATGCGACTGCCTATTTGAAAGACCCCTACTCCAGCATTCCGAGACCGAGTTCCATGTGGCTCTGAATCCCTGCAAGGATCTTAAGCCTCCCAAGCATCGTCCGGCCAGCCCTTCTCATTGTACGGCCATCCAAAAACCCCTGACTCTGTGCTATTTGTTCCTTTCTCCGAAGCAATCTGGTTTTCTGCTGGGTCGCTTCGTGGATTATCTCTCTCTCTCTCTCTTGCTGTTGGACTATCCTAGCATCCCCCTCCGGACGCACCTTGTACCTCCACCAACGCATGGCTGCAGCTCTAGGGTTGATTTCGAGATCTGCACCAAGCAGCGTATAATCGAGTCTAGGTAAAAGCCTTTCCTGATTTATGATGGCTGTAAGGAGTGCTACATCAGCGGTTGTTGGCCCTTCTCCAGTACGGAGCCTCGCTTTAAGTCGAAACAGACGCATACCTGCAGCTCCGCCATTGATACCGAGATCTTCCCCTAGCTTATTTGTATCTATACGAGCAGATTGCCATTGCTTGAAGACCGCAATAAGAAGCTGGGTATTGTCGCTGCGTGTCATAGCGCTACTTGTTGCTGTGCTGTGGATGCGGAAATGGATCTTTAGTGGATTTGTGTAATAGGTTATCGTAGGGTGTGGGTTGATAGAGGCTTAGGACTATCTTGCATAGATTTATTCTCACAGTCATTCAAATAGTAAAGCAAAAGTCATTAGAGAGTTAACTTCAGGTGTTTCATTGATCAATTCGTCAGCTGATTATGTTGACTTCCTGAAGATTCCATGCAGTTCGCAACTGTCTCAATGATGACCCCGAAACTCTAGTTGACTTCATCCTTAAGACCCTGCATTATGTTTAAACCAAACCAGAGTCATCAGGGACATCAAATCCAGAGCCTTCTCCTCCATTCATGAATCTCTCCTCTTTAATCTCCTTCTCCGCCTTTCCACCAGCGCCACCAGCCTTCTTGCGAGGAGCTCGGTGCTTCTGCTTCTTAGTAGGAGAAGCGACGTCGTCCATGCCCTCAATTTCATCTTCGAGACCAGCCTCTTCCTTGTTGCGCTTTTGTGCTTTGCCAGCACTAGCGATCTTTAACTCTCCAACTGTACCATTTTTCATCATTGTTACCATACGACCCCACTAGTAAAGAAGACATCAGCAATTGACCATAGTAAGAGTGTGAAATTGAAAGGCAGAGAAAACTTACACGAACGCGAGCCGCATCAGGTGTTGGAAGACCCAGATCTTCAAAGAGCTTGTCATATTCCAACTTGGGAACTTTGGCCTCCGAGACAATTTGACTTAATACCGCGGCATACCATATTTCTTTACCGGTCAAGGGGGTTTGGGACTTTGGTGGCATCCTTGTAGATTTAATTGGATAGTAGGGAAGAGTTGTGTATCGTTGAATTAGCTTGGGTTCGAAAGAATTTTGTGTGGGCGTGCAAGATTGTTCGTTGAAGGAAAGTCTTGATGGCAATTGTACGAACGTGGATGTATTTTTGTGGGATTGTGCGGAAATGTCGAACCAAAAGGTGACAGGAAATTTACAGGGTAAGAGACTCGCGAAGAGATCGGTTCGGATAGTACTAGACTAGAAGGAGCTAGTACCATATAGATAGATCGAGGCTCTCTCGAATGACTTTACGCATCTGTGCGTGCTTGAATGTTCACTATTGATGCACAACTCTGGCTGTCTCTAGTTTCTCTTGATTATCATTCCTAGATAACTTCACACTCAAATAAGACACTCTATAAGATCTTCAACGGCTGTTCAATCATGATTCATTGACTAAATCCATGCTTGCTATCCGAAATGCATTAACCCATCATGGGATTCCTCGCAGCATACCAAGTGACTGTACGCCCATCCTCTCGTCTGCCTCCCTTTCCGCATAATCTCAGACCTCATCCTCACTAGTCTCCTCCTTGACAGCTTTCTTTTGCTTGCCTTTTCCTTTTCCCGCTTTCTGGGCACCTCTGTATACGATGAGATTAGCATGCTTCACTTGAGAAATGAGAACAGACGTTAAGAACCTACTTGACTTTCTTGGTAGGAGAAGGCGCGGACTCGTCCATATACCCCTCAACTGGTACCTCGACTACTGGTCGCTTCCTTGCCGCAGCTTCATTAGGTTCCCTCGAAGCGATAAGATCCCCCATATCTCCAAAATCTCCATCTCTGAACTTCTTCATGAGATTAAACCATCTATTTTTAGAAGCTACCCGGTCGCGAAGGCCAATGGCTTCTGCCAATCTCAAGTGGTCAGGTGAGGGAAGGGGTTTGTTCTCAGGGGCGAGTTGTACCAGGACTGCAATGAGCATTTTTGAGGTCGTCGACACTTGGACTTGCAGACATATTGAGGTATTTTGTGCTAATTTGATTTGAGGGTTTGTTGTCGGATGTTGTTGTTGTGGAATCGGAGGAGAAGTATGGTATTGAGGGACGTGGAGTTGGAATGAGATTGGAAATAATGAGTTAACGTCTAGGATCCTACACAATTAATATACTGCATCTCAGATATCAGAAAGTCTCACAAATAGTTCTTCAGTTGTCCATGTAGGTCTGCATGGGTCGAGATGCTTGCATTTGATACTAACTAGACTCGTCTAGTCATGCACTTCCTTTTCCAAGAAAGTCTGACCATCGATACAATTCTCCGACACCCCCACTTTCTGTAGTCTTCCATTGCTTATTACCATGCGCAGACTCAAGCCTCGTTATCCGGGTACCAGCTTCACCCAGCCGGGCCCCGACCGCAAAACTTCTCCTTTCGATTCGCTTCCTGCCTTGGTGGTTCATTTTCTGCCGGCGCGTTTGCCTACATTGAATTTCGATCGTTTGATAGGGGAGGACTCAGGCTCGTTTGCCATCTTGTCCGATTCCTCGGCTGCTCGTTTTTTGACCGGAGACTTTTCTTCGTATTGCTGGGCAGCACTATCCTTCTTCTTTTTGTCTGCTTCTGGATCCCGAATCTTTAGATCTCCCTTCGCTCCCTCTTTGAGTTCGTCCGTGAGTCGTTTCTATACTCCTTGCGCAGAAGCATAGCTAGGCAATCCGAGTTGTTCTGCGAGAACGGTGTAGTTGGGAACTGGGAAAAGTTCCTTTTCGTTACTTGAGAACTGTGACATTGCAGCCATGAGAATTTTGAATTTATGTTCTATTGGCTGCGGTGGCATGATGATGGAATTTCGCGTGGTGGAATTTGTGTGGTTGATGTGTGGTTCTCGAGATTGGGATGAAATTACTTGAGAATTATACTATCGCAAAGACATTTCACACAATTAAATACTTTCTATCATATTCCCAAGAGCTTGTAAAAATTAAATTATTCATCCCATACCCCAGAACAATCTAGCAACATGATTTCTTTGCCTCACATATCCGCCCCTTATGCAGAGCACAGACAATCCCCTGTCAGCCACCAACCACCAATATATGCACGACTCCTTCCAGCTTAGGCTTCAGCCCTGCACAATCTAAATCCCAGCAAGCCATTATCTCAAGCCTCATCGTCGGGACCATAAGCAAAGACAGCATCCTCAAACGCTTTGTCCCCTTTATCGCTGATCTCCAACTTCACAACTGCCTTTCCCTGTCCTTTTGTCTTTCCTTTTCGTCGGGCTCGGGGGTTCAGACTCGTCGTTGTCTTCGATGGTGACCTTTCGCTTTCTACCTCTCCCACTTCCATTGCCAGCTCTATTTAAAGCTCTGTTTGCTTCTTTCTTCGGCGAGACGTTGGGGCTGGTAGGAGGAGGTTCGATTCCATGTCGTTGTTTCAGGCCTTTCCAGCGTATTCGAAGACTCTCAACCATGGCTCGGGTGATTTCTGCAGGTTCTAGCTCGGGGTGGAGAGATTGGGCGAGGGCTTTGAAATCGACTCTGTCGATCTGTTGGAGAACTCCAATCATGATTTGTTTGTCGTTGTCGTTCATTGTGGGTGGTATTGGGAAGTGTTGAAGTGATCTTGTGCTCTGTGGAAAAGAATTGGTTTGGTTGTGTTCTGACACTTATTGCACAGAGAAATAGACGTTAATATACTACTTGAGTTCTACTGTAAATTCTATAAATGGATTAGATATGCAAAGATTGGACATTAGAAGAAGAAGCGTGAAGGTTTGCTTTTCGAAGCCTGCAAGTATTCCATTTGTTTCCCGCGTCCCCGGCTGTTACCTAGTTGACCTGAAAAATATCTATCACATTCTCACATAGCCTACGCCTCGTCCTCATTCTGATATCCTCCATCATCTTCATCCTTGACAGCCAAATCTTTCATTCCCTCAATTTCCGCGCCAACCTGCACCTCCCCATCTTCCTCTTCCTGCTCATCCTCCGCATCACTAGTCTCTTCCGCAAACTTCGTAACCCTTGCTCGTCGGGACGGCAACCTGCGGGATGGTGTGACTGGCTCTTCCATTTTGACACCGAGATCCGGAGCATTTTTGTCGTAATCCATTTCCTCGTCCTTGTCTACGTCTAATTCCTCTTCCTTGATTCGACCGCGTGACTTCTTGGGGCTTCCGTGGTTGTTCTTCTTTGGACTACCTCCTGCCTTCTTTGGTGAGACTAATCCAATTTTCTTGCCGACTCCAGCTGCCTTCTTCGGAGTGATTGGGGGTGCCCCCTTTGTAAGTTTTTGTTTGTAGCGATCCCATCTGCAGCGAGCGGCCTTGGATGTAGCCACGCCGATGTAATTTGCAAGCTCTGTAGATAGTGTCAGGTTAGCGTTTGATCGCATGATTTTGCAATGAACGATGATTTGGAAATGGTTGAGGGGGAGACTGTATACCTTCGTAATCAATGCGGCCAACTTCGATTTGAGTCAACACTCCCATGAGGAGCTTCTCTTCCATGGATGCCATCTTGAGAAACAAGATCGATTGTGTATTGAAATGCTTGTTTGCGATGTAAGAGGCTTACGTTCAAGAAAGGACTAAGTAGGTTGATAATGCTTTCGAAAGACAAAAATCGAGATTGACGAAATTACCGAAGCTCTTCGTCTGCGAAATGAAACAGATATCTGCTGATGGGCATCAAGCTCTTTATAGTGGTGTTCTGCTGTTTTTCGAACGAAGCTAGACCGAAATAGAAGAATTTCTTTTGCTGATCCCAACAGACGAAGTAGGAATACTCCCGGGGGATATACGGGCTACTGGGTTTCACAGTTATGCACCAAAAGTTCATGAAATTGCCTTTTGGCATGAATTATGTCTGTATTCTAAGATCAAGCTTCAAAGTCCACAGCAAAGACGAATTCTAATCGAATTCCGCAAACAAAATCCATCCGATACCAAACCACATACCCCATTCTCAGATACTGCAAGATACCTACAACACCAAACCCGGAATAGTCCCAAAGTCAAGCCAGATCGGTGGAAATTCAACTTGTATCTAAGCTTCCCAATCTTCCTCGCCACTGTATTCGTCGACCATTCCACCCCTCCTCTTCTTCTTGTCAGGAACTTTTGTGTAGTCGATGTCCTCAAACCCAGACTCAAACCCCTCATCTTGACCATGCCCATTATAGCCTTCCCCGGTACCATCACTCGTCTGTATACTACTCTTTCTCTTTTTGATACTCTTCGTCGCACTCTTCAGAAATTTTCTCGCCGGCATTTGCATCAACCTCGCCCCCTCTTTCTCTTCCGTCAAATTTCCATCCGGGTCCTCCATCTTTCTCTTGCCAATTTTCTTAGGTGACTCTAGAACGGTTCCCTCCCTTTTGATCTCAAACTTTAGTGGCGAGCCAGGCAGACTTAATCTAGTAGCTTTGGTATTCGCTTCGACTTTTACGGGGCTATTTGCTGCTTCGTCTCTCTCCTTTCTGTCCTCTTCCCCATCTTTGTTTCCAGACTTTATTCTGTGCTTCTTCTCGTCATCTCTGCCATCATCCCCACCCGCCCTATTTGGTCTGCTAATCCCAAAACTGTTCAAAAGCCGGATCCACCTATGCCTCGCAGCATTTTGACCATTAACACCCATATCTTGCGCCAAGCGTGCGAAGTCGATCCTGCCAATCTCGATTTGCTTGAAAAGGGTCCTCATAACGAGATTATTGTTGTTGACGTCGGCAGGAGTGGGATGTACCCCATCAGTTCTAGTAAAACATCTTTTGAATCGGTGGAAGCGATGCCGAGCAGCATTCTGACCATTGACACCCATATCTTCTGCTAGACGTTTGAAATTGATGGCCCCATGTGCGCCAATATCGATTTGTTTAAAGAGAGCTGTAAGAACGAGATTGATGTCCTGGGTTTCTGCGTCGGTCGACATGATTACTGCGTGTTCGAGTTGGTTGAATGCAAATGTCAAGGTTGAGGGTGTCACTTTGGCGGAGAGAAGATACCGTTGACGTTTTGGATGTTCACGAGGATGTGATTAATTTACGAACGGCAGGTGCGAGTTGATACATCATGGTTACCTGCAGCTAGAACCAGCTCGAGTGAAACTTGAACTTTCTTTAGTTTTACGTGATCAATTGTCTGAATATTCTGATGCAAAACTTACTTTTTTTGAAATAAAACCCCTCGATTGTTCTAGCAAAATTGTCTAATCAATGAGACAAAAGGAATATTGATAACGGATGTAGCTTCAATGGTCCCCGCATACAAGGATACATGCATGGATGATGACAGAATTCTATCACATTCGGAATAATGAATTACGGAGGAGTTTTCTTTGCGCCAAATGCCACTGTTTGTATTGATTACGAGAGAAACAAATGGGAGGTTGGAGGTGATGCCTATCTAGAACTTTTCCCCAAGTTCGCTATCGCTGGCATCCTAGCTTCGTCCTTCAAGCCAAACGCCCCAACCTGTATGAATTTTCCAAATCTAGTCAGAAAGCTGCCTCATCATCGTCAAAACCCTCCTCGGATTCTTCTACCTTGATTTTGGTTTCAGCAGTGACCTCATCCTTGGTACGCTTGTTGCCACGCTTGCTCTTTGTAGTAGTCTTCTTCTTGAAAACCTTGTCCTGAGAGACCTTGTTCTTGACAAGAGATTTGTGATTATGCTTGGGTGTGACACGGAGTGCCTTGACATCCTTTCCACCGAAATCCTTGCCACCAACATGCTTTCCACCATTATCCTTTTTGATAATCTCCTGATCCTCACCACTGGCTTCGGCTTCGGTCTCCTCTGCAATGCCTGCGGCAACAACTCCCTTTTCGGCAGCCCCTTTTCCCTTGCGCACTCTAATTGCGAGACGGGACCATCGCTTTTCAGCAGCTGTCTTTTTGATTCCTAGATCTTCAGCCACGGCCTCCACGCTACTAGCCACGCACGCGTTGATTTGCTCCTTCGGAACTTTCTCGATAACAGCCCACAATAGGTCGATTTCGGCTTGAGTGAACTTGGCTTGGTGAGGTTTTTCCGACATGATTCTGGAGGGTGAAATTTCGGGTTAAGTGTGTGTGCGATTAACTTAAAGGAGGAGGTGACGAACACGTAGACTGCAATTGATGACAATCTAAGATTCTCGATGATTCGAAGAGCCGGAAGATATTTCGATATTTGTTTTTCTTTGGAGGTGTTTTGGTGCTTGTGGAAGTATCAGAACTTCGGCTATTTTATGTGTGGTGAACTAGCGCACAGGCCTTCTTGAGATTGCAACAGCACTGGGAAATGAGAGAATACTAGATATCAGCCTTCTCTTTGAGAATTGAGGTCATGGATAGATACTCCTTGAATACTTGAGGTTCATGAAATATCAAGAGAATTGATTCCACGCATGTCTGATGGGAAGTTTATCTGGTATAATCCTGAACGACTGAAACTTACAGCCGGTGGTAGATACTTTTGTCTAGAGCGCTGGTTCATGGGCGAGTGTTGCGTTTCACTATTTAGGCAATATTTCTCTCTCAACAAGGAAAAAAGTCTTTCCAGGCGCGGATTTCCATGGTGTTTATTCGAATGATCATAGAAAGCTTAAGAAACTTTCTTTGGTAGGAGATGTTTCTGCTTGTAGGTGATTATAAGGCTCACTACAAATAGAGACAAGTTGCCATCAAACGACCACTCTCCCAATCGCCACCTCTCAAACATCTGAAGAACTGTCCGCAAGGCAATACCGTATCGACAAGAAACATCAAGCTTGGATTCGACATCTTGACTTCAAACGCAAACATGCCTCCCAACCCGAGAATTGACAACAACACTCTTGTTTGGAATGCTATATCCAAACAATTTGATATCGCAGATGAGTTCAGGGGAATCTGGAATAAGCTTGACCATGATCGCTTAATTGCAGATATGGGTGTTGCCAACAAGAATGCAGCCCATCATAGATTCAGGAGATGGATATCCTCGATGGCTGAACAAAGCGGCCAGTTGAGCCCGGATAACGAGGATATGGGGGAAGCTGCAAACAACGATGAACCGCCCGCGAGGGGTCGGAAGAGGGGCGTGAAGCGTTCACTGAAGAACGTGATCAAGGCGGAAGAAAATGTGCCCGTGTTGAACAAGAAAGTTGCAGGAAAGAAATTGGCTACTGGTACGAGAAAATTAATCAAAGGATAAGAACTTAGCTGACGAGGAACAGAGACAGCAATAGCAAAAGTCTCCTTAGACATCGACGAGGATGGCCAGGAAGAAAGTTATTGAGATCAGAAACTAGGGGCTCAGGGACAAATGACTGAGGGCTAGCATGAGTAAAGGCTAGCGAAGACTACACTGGTTGAAGGCTTAGGTCGAGGACTTGCACTACAGTTATGTTATGGACTGGAAAAAGGGGCTAAAGGTGGGGGCTGATAGTGATAAATATTGAAAGTTTGGGGGCACATTGCGAGTGGCTGGTATTGTACTTTGGGACCAGATTTTACTTTGCAATTGGATCTGAAAGCTTTTCCTGTCCATCGTTGAAGTTCCCCTTCATTTTAACCACTTGAATGATTCTTGAAGAGCCATGTGCAACACCTAGCCTCCGCGCCTCTCAGATGCATGTCCTTCTCCTTGTTTTTATCTTGGTGCGAATACAATAGCTCCAAAAAGTCTTTGAGTCATTATGTATTCGTTGTGCCATAGTACAATGATGTAAGGCATGTGTGAGACAACTACAAAGCCAAACATAGTTGCATTGAGGAGATTGATTGTTGTGTTCTGCAGTGTGTACCACTGTGATACATGATTATGGATACTCCTGATGTTCATCAAAGAACAGGTGGAAGATGTGAATGCTTCAATGGTTGAAGGTGTTCAAAGTTGTCAAGTAGCACTTACTACTACTCCCAGATGGAACTCTCCAGCAGTTGGTAGGTAGTTGTTGGTTGTTTAGTCTACAGAGGTCTTTTAGTTGTTTTGATGGTCGAGGCACGGACCAACGGAACAACATTTAGGGTGCCCGACTTTGCACTTGGCCACAAGATCAATTTTATCTTTCTGAGGTCTTCCAACTTTCAAAATATCAACAACTACGATAATTATGGAAACAAAACAATCACAATGCAGTTAAGAACTCTGAATGAAATACCACAAAGGAAATTTAGATAGGAAGAATGCTATATGGACCACTTTCCGATACTGTATTTGCTTTTCTTGGGGAACGAGTAGACGGCGACGCTTCTACTCTTCCCAGCTTTATGGAGCAAATCTGACCCAAGTCCTCGCAATCTTAATAGTCAGCTTAAACAGATGGATGATAGCAGATGCTCACAAGCTCAAGAGATCTGCTTTCCTTTTTGAATCAGCGTATCATACTTCTTCTCAAATCCCGATCGAAATGCAGCTGCAACGAGTGGCACGGCTTCCAGGTATTGATCAATTGCCTCACTTCTATCAAGCTTCGGCTATATCTTAATTTGGGCTCTGGACTATCTACTTTCCTAGACCTATATCACATAAAGGGGGGAATCGTTCTAGAGGAGATCGACGTCTGAAGCGGGGTGTGCGGCTCAAACCTGGGCAAGGGGAATGGCCAGTGCTTACATTGGGCCCGAGTTGCTGGGCTTTTGTGTACGATTGGGCTGATACATTGACCTTCGCTCTCATTCATTTCGGAATTCTAGATGCACAAGAAAACTACTTATAGACATGTGCGATACAGTGGTTATTGAGTTACTCGTCTTCAAACACTCAAAATGTCTTTGAGATGGCATTGCACAGTATCTCATGCGGCATTCGCTACTATACTTCTATTTCTCGGGGTTTTTTGATGTGTATTGTTTTCGTTCCTAAACCAATTCTGGAAGCTTCATTTAATGTTACCGTGAATACACACATACAGACAACGAGTGCTGTCTGCAACATCATGTTTTCGCTTGTCTTGTATGACTAAGTACTGGGCTATTTCCATCTACAACCCCCCCTGCTTCCTCGGTTGCTCGATCGGGAGATGGTAAAAATAGGGAAGATTACATGCTCGACAGATATCACATGTCGAGTAGCGAAAAGATAGGATGAATAGCTGCGACCGAGAGAGTGTATCTGGATATTTTACACCTTCACAAAAATCCAGACGAGAGACCATGCCAGCATGATATCTATTTGTATCTCTGCATTTCTCTGCGTTCCTGAGACCCAGGAGAGAAATTATCCTACGTATCCATTGGGATCCATAGATAATGCACTGTAAGGTTTCTGAGACTTGAAGATATCATCAGGTGATGTGTATCGCTGCATGAAATACGCGTTTTGTTTTGGAATAGTAGCCGAACACTAGCTAATTACAGATTACGGAAGGTACAAGTCCGTTGTACTATTTCGGCTGATTCTTCCGGTTCAATGCCTACGATCTGGTGACAATTAAATTTGAAAGATTTGGTACGGGTATGAAGAATTTCCTCGGACGCCGATTGGTGTTCATTACCCCAGATTTTGTGGAAATCGTGCATGTGCCTTGCGGATATCGTACCGCAAAGCCTGTGGAACTAGATGGATCGTCTAATCACCACGTCGTGGAGATCCACCCACTCGACTCCATCAATCAAATCAGCGGCTTGACACGAAAGAATAAACCTTATATTAAATTAATATCAATTTATGCAGTACTCTTCTTGTGGTCACAGAGAGGTTCTTCCGTGTACTCGAAAATAGTAACTATGGCTTCATGTACTCGTGATTTTCTTCACGAGCATTGTTTGATACGGAAGATTCGATGATTTTCCTTCAGTCACAACGTTTTCTTGCATTTAGTATGCACCGTAATCTTCATTTCCGGACCGACGGGATATAATTGTTCCCTTCGCATTTCTACCGCTATCTAGGGTGGGTCGAAGTCAGTCTTTCGCCCCGTCTTGTTATTTACATAAATCATCGCTCTGCTCTATTCCTTCATCT